GTAGTTGCCCGACGATTGCGCCGACGCGCCCGTGTAGTTCGCGTCGTCGAGGAACGTGCCGCGCTGGTCGTAGTCGTCGTCCCAGAGGACGCAGTCCTTGACGGGCGTGTACGTCGCGTTGCCGCGGTCGTCCTCGCCCTTGAGCTCGAGCCCCCAGTTCCAGATGCGGTAGCCCAGGAGCACGAAGCAGTCGAGGTCGCGCGTCGCCATGTCGAGCTGGTCCGCGACGGCGGCCGCGTAGGTCTGGCGGACGACGCCCGCGTCGTGGAGCTCGGCCTCGCGCGCGAGCGTCACGGTGACCGGGCCCGTTCGGGTGTCGTTGAGGCCCGCGACGTCGTCCTCGAGGACGCACTCGACGTACGTCGTCGAGCTGTAGTCGAGCCACTCGCTGTTCGCGCGGTCCGCGGATTTCGCGTGGGCGTTGGCGACCATGGCGTAGCCCTTCCAGTCCTCGGAGGTCCACGCGCAGGCGTAGCCGCTGTCGTACTCGGACACTCGGCACGCGAAGTTCTTCAGCGTCCGCGGCACGCACCGCGCGCCCGCGACGTCGACCTCGTTCTGCGGGCCGAACCGGGAAAACCCGCGCCCCCAGATGCGCACGATGTCGCCGGCGTGGAGGCTCCCGTTCTTTGGCGCAAAGTCGTCGACGCGGACCTCGACGGTGTACAGAGCGGACGCGTTCTGCTGCCGCGCGGCGCCGAGCCCCGCGACGTAGACGTCCACGGGGTAGGTGCCGCCCTGGGCCTCGTCCTCCGCCAAGACGCATTCGATGGCCGACTCGTTGACGTAGGACACCTCGCAGGCCGCGCCGCCGATCCCGACGGTGACCTCGCCCGCGATCGTCGAGAATAAGGACCCCTCGACGGTGACGAGCTGGCCCGAGGTGCCGCCGGCGGGCGTCACGCGCGTCACCGTCGGCGTCGCGTCGGGGCTGTATGCGAAGGCGCAGGACTTGCCGTAGCAGGCCGACGCGAGCGCCGTCGCCGCCGTCTCGCCCACGGAGACGACGACGGGCAGCGGCTCGGAGGAGATCTCGCGGAAGAACTCCATGGACAGCGAGTGGCTGCCCGAGACCTTCGTCGAGAACGAGTCGTCGGCCGTCTCGATGAGGAGCTCGAGGCCCAGAATCGCGCCGCCGACGGACGAGTTGTGCACGTGCAGGAGCTCGAAGTGGCGCGCCTCGCCGCGCGCGAGCTCGACGGCCGCGGACGCCGCGCGCGCGTGGACGCTCTCGCACAAAAACTCGTTCTCGGCCGAGCAGGCCTTGTCGTCCCAGGTGCCGCCGGAGGCCCACTGGGCGACGCAGACGCCGTTGCCGTTGGGCTCGTTGGCGTTCCAGCGCGTGAAGACGGCCGGCGCGTTCGCGAGGTCCGAGTGGTGAGCGCCGGCACTGAAGAGCTCGCCCGTCGTCCGCCATTCCCACATGCCCGCGAAGTCGCGGGCGCTCCCGCCGAGCCAGACCTGGAAGGAGTTCAGGGTTTGCGCGGCGATGAGCGCGGTGACGAAGTTGTGCTCCGCCTGGCCGTTTGTTTCGGCCAAATACGCGCCCTCCGCGGCGCACGCATCGCGCGCGTCGGCCCAGGTCTCGCCGGCCCCGGCGAAGAGCTTGTACCAGTGGCCGTCGAAATAAGTCCAGTCGCCGACGACGTCGCCGTCGCTCGGCGCGTCCGCCAAAGGCCCGCCCAAAATGACCTCGCGGCGCCGCGGGTCGCCGCTCGCCGACAGCGACACCTCGAGCGCGGAGTCCCAGGTCGCGAGGAAGGTGTAGTTCGCGGCCACGGGTGCAACAAAAAAACCTTCGAAGGCGCCCGCGCCGGGGCCGTAGGTCGGCGCGGGTCCGATATCTCCAAAATTCGTCGCGTCGAAGCCCGCGCACGAAACGTTCTCCGACGCCGTGCAGTTGAAGTCGTCGTCGTAGCGGTTCGCGACCACGAGCGCCTCGTGGGCCGCCGCGGCCTCGAAGGCGCGGATGCGCTTGTGCTTGCACCGGCTCGGGCAGCCCGCGACGGTCCGTGTCCTCGTGTTGTTCACGGCGCACGGCCGCCCCGACTTGCACGACGCGTTGACGTAGGTCTCGATGGTCTGGTCCCCGCGGAGGTAGCCGTCGGCGTCGTAGCAGGCCTCGCACTCGACGCACTTGGGCACGAAGTAGAGGTAGTCGGGCTTCGCGCGCAGCAGCGCGCGCGTCGCCGTCGTCGCCTCGACCCAGTCGTCGCCCGTCGTCGTCTTGATGGCCGACGACGTCGACCCGACGGCGAAGTAGGCCGCGGCGTCGTTGAAACCGCCATCCAAGAGCGCCTCGCCGCCGTTGTACTCCAGGCCGCCCCAGGCGTCGTCCTCGAAGTAGGGCACGTAGACCTGCTCGTAGCCCAACTCCTCGTCGTACTGCTCGGCCTTGATCCGCGCGTTGAACTGCGTCGGGTTCATCCTCTGGGCCCAGTGCATATAGTCCAACCCGGTGTCGGGCCACTCGAGTTTCAGCTCGATGCCGCCGCTGCCCAGCGTGCGCATGTACTCGAGCTCGTCCAATATGGCGTAGTTCGCGGCTTCGCGGTCGTGCGCGGCGCGGCGCCACTGCTGGTCCGCAAAGGGCGCGCCCATCTCCGTGTCCTGGCGCAGTACGTCGACCCAGCCGTCGGCGTCCGCCAGGTCCCAGGTCGCGTCGCAGCCCCAGTAGTCGTTCGTGAGGCAGCAGTACGCGTCGTCGCCGCAGGGGCGGTGGAAGCGGCTCTCGTTCTTCCACTTCTTGTCCGGCGCGGACGCGTTCCGCGGCGCGCGGCACGTCGTGCCCGCGTCGTGGGCGTTGAGCGTGTCCAAATCCTTGGACCAGGTGCCGTCGCGGTAGCCCGGCGCCATCAAGGACCACGCGCGCTGCCTCAGGCCGCGGCCGCCGACGTAGAGACAGTCGCGCGTCGCGTTCCTCGACGCGGTTGAATCGTAGTTCGCCGCGAGGGGGTCGCTGCAGTTGCCGCCGGCGAGGGGGCCGACGCGCGCCGCGGCGACGCCGTCGACGGCGACGCAGCCGTCGGCGCCCACCGTGTCGACGACGACGGCCCCGCGCTTGCCGTCGAACGCGCCCGCCGCGAAGGAGAAGCGCCCGAGGCGCAGCGTCGACGCGGCCGCGGCCGCGAGCGACACGTTGAGGTGGACGTAGCCGCGCACGGCGTCGGCCACGAGGACGCTCACGGACGACGCTAGAGGGGCGCCGCTGGCGCAGCCCGCGCCCGCGCCCGCGGCCGCGGGGACGACGAGCGAGACGTCGTACGCGCCGTCGACGTCCACGGCCGCGGGCGCGAGCACGAGCCACGACGGCGTGCACGGCGGCGTCGCGCAGCCCGCCGCCTCGACGTAGGCGCCCCGGCCCGCGGAGCTCAGGGAGACGGTGCCCCAGGCGCCCGCGCTGTCCTGGGCGTCCTCGTCGTCGACGGTCCACGACGTCGCGCCGGAAACGCTGACCGGCGCCCCGATGGCGTCCTCCAGCGACAGGAGCTCGAGGCGGTAGTCCTTGGGCCTGCCCGCGTCGACCTTGGAGAGATCGCCCGTGCGGCAGACGACCTCGACGAGCGTCGAGGACACGACGTCGCAGGGCGCGCCCGCGACGTCGACGTGCACCAACGACGCGTCGTCGGAGAACCCGCCGCCGGCGATGGTCACGAGCGTGCCGCCTTCCAGCGAGCCCAGAGCCGGCGACACGCTCTGCACGTGGGGGTAGTACTGGACGGCGTAGGTCTCGCCGAAGGCGTCCCTGGAGAGGTTCTTCACGAGGTTCCACGTGAGCCCGCCGACCTCGTCCCGCGTGTTCGTGTCGAAGAAGACGGACGCGTTGTAGGAGCCCGCGGCGAAGTCGCCCAGGTAGCAGTTCACCGTGTCCTCCGTGACGGGCGAGTTGTGGCCGATGACGGCGTCCTCGACCATGACCGGCAGCGAGAAGGAGTCGACGGCGCCCGTCTCGTCGTTGACGGCCATGTTGAGGTCGTCCGCGCGGCAGAGCGCGTGCGTGCTCAGCACGGCCGTGCCGCCGTTCTGGACGTTGCCCCCCTGGGGCGGCCGGCCCGCGCCGACGTAGATGGCCCGGTAGTCGGCGACGTACTCGCCGAAGCTCGCGCCGTGGAGCGTCAAAACGTCGCCCGCGGCCAAGTGCCGCGGCGCCGTCCGCGTCACCGCGGGCACGCCGGCGTGCGTCGACGGCAGGTAGTAGAAGGCGTTGGCCATCTCCAAGTCGTAGGTCGAGATCGAGTCCTCGACGACGACCCAAATATCCAACCAGCCGCTGTAGTCGTCCGCGAGCCACGGCTGCGTGTCGCAGACGACCTTCTTGTCGCCGCCGCAGTCCACCGTGCAGGCGCCCTCGATGACGTCGCACTCGACCCAGCCGTCCGCGGCCGTGCCGATGTAGACCGTGTTCGACCCGCTGTAGAACTCCGTCGCGAAGCCCGCGCCGCCGACGTGGAGCCGCGTGCCGCCGTTCGAGCTGCCGTACTGGGGGCTCACGCTCGTGACCTCGCGCGTCTTCTCCGCGAGCGCCACGGACGTGTCCGAGAGGTCGAGCATGTCCGCGCCCTGGCCGACCGCGCAGGCGACGAGGGTCGCCGCGGCGACGAGGCGCAGCAGCATCGCTGGGCTGCCTTTTCAAGAGCTGCGGGGCTGGCTTTTTTGGGGGCTGCCTCGCTTGCTTGTCGTTGCTGAATGGTGGACGCGAGGTCCTTGCTTGCAGTTCCCCCCTCGTTCCGCACACCGGCGGTGGCGATGAGGCGCGCAGTCAAATGCCGGGCAGTGCCGGGTGAGCTCGACAGGGAAGAAGAAATCTATTGTCACTGATTAGGTGCCAGCAACGTCGCCTCGACGTTGGCCTCCGCGTTTGCTTGAACCACTTCAATGAGGGTCGATGCTGTTGCCCGCAAAAACAAAGCCTCCGCTCGAGCGCGTCATCGAGAACCGCATGGCCTCGCGCTGTTAGGCTTGCAAGCCGTCGGCATTCCACTCGCGCTGCAGCTCGAAATATGCGCGTGGGCAAGACGCTCACGGAGGAGGAGCTCGAGGACCACGTCCTCTACGAGGCGGACCCCGTCAAGGTCGGCGAGCTGAGCGCCTGGCGCAAGTGCACCATCCTCGTCCTCGCGCGCTACCCGCTGCTGCACAGCGTCTTCTGGCTGAGCGTCGTCGGCTGGGCGGCGCTGCGCGCCACGGACGACAAACAGGCGCTCCTCAAGGCCGTCATCGAGTGCTGGCTCGTCTATTCCTTCGGCAAGTACGTCGTCACGGGCACGTGCGGCTTCCGGGGGTTGCGCCTGCTGCGCGGCAACGACGCCAAGCCCGCGACGCACTGGCGCGAGGAGGCCGACGCCTACGTGGCGGCGCAGCGCGACGCCGGCGACGCGGGCGCGGAGCTGAGGTACGAGGACGTGATCCACGTCGTCGCGATCCCCAACTACAAGGAGGACCCGGGCACGCTCCGGCGCACGGTCGCGACGCTCGCGGCCCAGGCCGACGCCAAGGAGGCGCTGGTCGTGGTCCTGGCCATGGAGGAGCGGGACGCGACCGCGCGCGCGACGGCCGCGGCCGTCGTCGGCGAGTTCGGCGGCTGCTTCCGCGCGCTCTACTGCACGCTCCACGAGCTTAAGCCCGGCGAGGTCGCGGGCAAGTCGTCCAACGAGAACTGGGCCGTGCGCTGCGCGAAGCGGCGCCTCTGCGACGAGCTCGGCGCGCGGTCCGACCGCGTCGTCGTCACCGTCTGCGACGCGGACACGTACTTCCACGCGCGCTACTTCGCGGCGCTGAGTTGCGCCTACGTGAAGCGCGACGCCCTGGCGCGGCGGCGCACGTTCTGGCAGGCCTGCACCCAGTTCTACCCGAACTGCGACGACGTGCCGCTGGTCTGCGGCGTAAGGTACGCGCTGCTCTCCGTGGGCTTCCTCGGCCAGATGGCGAACCCGCTCCACTACAAGCTGCCCTTCGCCGTCTACAGCGTGGCGTTGGACCTCGCCGTCGAGGCGCGCTACTGGGACCCGGCGGTCATCCCCGAGGACTGGCACATGTTCCTCCGGTGCTTCTACGCGACGGCGGGCGAGATCCGCGTCGAGCCGCTCTTCTTCCCCGTGGGCTGCGAGTGCGTCACGGACCGCACGGGCCCGCGCACGGTGGCGGCGTGCTACCAGCAGGCGAAGCGCTGGCAGTGGGGCGCCATCGACCTCGGCTTCATCGCCGCGCGGACGGGCGACGCGCCGCCGCACCGCCAGCTCGCCGTGTCGCTCGCGGCGACGGAGCACCACCTGCTCTACCCTTTGATGTGGATCGTGCTCGCCGCGGCGCCCTGGCTCGTCAAGGACTGGGCGACGGGCTGGCGCTTCAAGCTCTGGGCGGGCTTCTTCGTCGTCAACTTCTTCATGCTCAACGTCCTCGACCACGCCTACCGCGACGTCCTCGCGCGCGACGCGGGCTGCGGCGGGCCCCGCGCGCGCGGGCTCGCGGCCTTCCGCGGCGCGCGCGTCGCGGCCTTCGTCTTCTTCCCCTTCGCGGACCTGCTCCTGTTCGTGCTGCCGAGTTTGCACGCGCACGCGCGCATGGCGCTGTCGACGCGCTTCGACTACGTCGTCGCGCCCAAGGTCGCCATCTGCTGCATGTCATCAGTCCACTCGAGCTCCCACCTCCTCGCCAACCTGCCGCTGCCGGACGCGCCGCTGACGAAGCACGGCGTCCAGCCCGCGACCTACTCGGCCCTGCAGGACGTCGAGCTCACGGCCGCCGCCGAAGCTGAACCCGAGTCCTAGCTCGCGAAAGTCTAAGAGGTCGAAGGCCCGTTAATACGACGGCGAAGACGCCTAGGCGGCGGTCTTGAGGAGCTGCTGGAACTCGCTCTGCTGCTCCTTGACGCGGCGGTCGAGGAACTGGCCGCGCGCCGCGAGCTGGGACGCGCGCTCCTCGCCGCGCTTGAGCTGGCCGTCGAGGAGGGCCTCGACGCCCGGCTTGTCGCTCATGACGAACATCTTGCCGACGGAGCGGTAGACCTCGGCGTCCGCCGGCAGCGCGCCGATCTCGTTGCAGGTGATCTGCGTGCGCTGGATCTCGCGCTTGACCGCGCCGAGCCGCGCCTGCGTCTCCTGGAGCTCGCGGCCGTTCTTCTGCAGACTCTCGCTCAGCGCCTGCGCCTCGGCGCGCGCAGCCTCGTCGGGGGGCGCGCGGCCGCCGGCGGGCGCGAGCGCCGCGCGGCGGTCCTTGTCGCGCTTGCCCTTGACGACGCGCATGAGCTTCTTGAGCTCCGGGTTGTCGCCGTCCTTGGCGAGGCCCGATTTTATGGTGAGCTCCGCGTCGTCGTACTGCTTCAGGCCGAGGAGCGCGTTCGCGAGGCGGTGGAAGCCCTTGATGAACTCGGGCGAGAGCTCCAGCGCCTTCTCCGCGTCTTTCTTCGCCGCCTCGAAGTCGCCGGCGCTGTGGTGCGCGAGGCTCCGGTTCGAGTAGAGCAGGTGGTTCTCGGGAGCGAGCGCGATGGCCGCGCTGTACTTCTCGAGCGCCTCGGCGAAGTTCCCGGCCTTGAAGGCCGCGTTGCCTTCCAGGCGCACCTTCTCGACCTCGTCCTCGGCCATCGTCGTGGTCGTCGAGCGGCGGCCGCTGGGGCGCGTCTCGTGCGGTGAGCGCCGGCGAGCTGATCGGGCTAATGTTGACTACGTGTTGAATGTCAACGTGCACAAGCAGCCCGGCCTCTCTCGTGCTGTGGCCACTGAGAAAGTCGTCTTTGCGTTGGCACGATGGGCAAGGAGTGCGGGTCCTGCGGCGTCGTCAAGGAGCTCGGCGGCTACACGAGCGTCCAGTGGCGCCTGGGCGCGGGCCGGCGCTGCAAGCGATGCTTCCAGGCGGCGATGCCCCTGACGCCCAAGGCGGAAGAGATCAGCCGCATGCTCCCCGGCGCCGTCGAGGGGGGCTACGGCCTCGACAAGGAGAACAAGGACGACGACGAGGACCCGGCGGGCCTGCTCGTCGAGGACGTGACGACCCTGAAGCGCGGGACGAAGGAGGCCGAGGAGGCCGCCGCGGACGCGCTCGAGCCCGTCGCCGCGTTCGAGGCCGCGGACGACGGCTTCGTCGAGGCCGCGGCCTACGGCGGGCCGAAGCCGGGCTACTACTTCGGCCGCGCCGGCGGCCGCCTCGGCTACCACGTGGACCCGCACCAGGCGTCGCGGCCGCCGCCGCCGCCCGGGGACGCCGCGGTCGCGGCCGCGCCGGCGGAACCCGAAAAAAACACGCACAAGAAGGCCGCCGCGGTCGACGATGTGCTCGTGTCCGCCGAGCTCGTCGAGGAGGACGACCTGCCCGGGGGGCTGAGCCCCGAGGAGGCCGCGGAGGCGCTCCTCGACGCGTGCCTCAACGGCGACAAGGGCGCCTTGAGACGCGTCTGGAAGGCCGCGGGCCGCCGCGGCCGCGGGTCGCGGCTCTGGCCCGACGCCGTCACGAAGGCGCTCCAGGCCGCCGTCGCCCTCGGCCACGCGTCGACCGTGCGCGTGCTCCACGAGCTCGGCGCGGATTTGCGGGCCGAGGGCGCGACGGGCATGACGGCCCTCCAACTCGCGTGCTTTAAAGGCGCGGACAAGGTCGTGCGGGTCCTCGCCGAGCTCGACCCGCCCGTCGACGAGGATCTGTGGACGGACGTCGCGCGCCTCGTCGGCGCGCCGCTGCACATCGCCGCGTTCTACGGCCACCGCGACGCGTGCGAGGCGTTGCTCGACGCGGGCCACGCGGTCGACAAGCTGAACTACCGCGGCCGCACGCCCCTCTTCCTCGCGGCGACGCAGGGCCACGCCAAGGCCCTCGCTTTACTCGTCGAGCGCAAGGCCTGCATCAACGGCGCGACGCGCTCCTTCAACAAGAAGCAGAGCCCGCTCTATATCGCGTGCCAGCACAACCACGTCGAGGTCGTCCACACCTTGGTGGCCTACGGCGCGGACCTGTCCGAGTTCCCGCTCGAGGACGAGGAGCTCGGCCGCAAGGAGAACCAGAACGAGTGCGGCAAGTTCATCAAGACCGTCGTCAACCACGGCGGCTGGAAGGCCTACCAGGACTGGATCTACCGCAACCGGCCGCGGCCGGGCGTCGAGATCAAGACGCGCGAGTCCACGAAGCTCAACCTCCCGAAGAACTTCCGCAACATGGGCTAGGTGGAATTTACGTAACATCGATCGTAGGCGCCCTCTTGTCTTGGTTGAGTTCATATTGAAGAAGTAAATGAAGCAGTTGCGCACGATTCCTACACGATGGAGATCGACTGGGCGTCGGGCACGGCGTTGCACCAGGCGTGCGCGTCCTTCGACGTCGACCTCGTCGAGGAGCTCGTGGAGACCTGCGACGTCGACGCGAGAATCCAGCCCGGGAATTTCACGGCGCTCATGCTGTCGTGCATCGCCTTCAGTTGGGCCCTCATGGTCACGCCCTGCGACGAGGACGTCGTCGCCATCCTCGAGGTGCTGCTCGCCGCCGGCGCCGACGCGACGCTCGTCGACGACCAGCTCTCCACGGCGCTGAACCACGCGGTTTCCAGCAACTGCAACGGCGCGGCGCGGACGCTCGTCGACGCCGCGCCCTGCTGCCTGTCGCGGCGCGACGCGCTCGGCTGGCAGCCCCTGCACTACGCCGTCGAGCTCGGCCACGGCGAAGCGTTGCGCGCGCTCCTGGACAAGCGCGCGCGCCACGTCGCCGACGTCAACGCCCCGGCGACGCCGCACGCGCCCTCGAAGGCGGACCCCTGGTCGGAAACGACGGGCCTCACGGCGACGCACGCGCTCTGCCTCCGGGGCCGCGTCGGGCTGCTGGGGCTGCTGCTGCGGGACCACGGCCTCGATCCCAACCCGCCGCCGTCGGCGCTCGGCGTCACGCCGCTCCACTGCTGCGCGTGGCAGAAGCGGCGCAAGTGCGCGGAGGTGCTCCTGCGGTCGAGCCGCGCCGCGGCCGCGGCCGTCGACCGGACGGACGCCGACGGCCGCACGCCGGGCGACGTCGCGGCCCACTGCGGCCACGCGACGGTCGCCGCGGTTCTGGAAAGACGAGGCCTAAAAGTCGGCGACGCCGTCGTCGTCGCGGGCCTCGTCGCCGCGGCCCGCTACAACGACCGCGCGGGCGCCGTCGTCGGCGACCTCCTCGACGGCCGCTTCGCCGTCCGCGTCGGCGGCGCGACGATCCGCGCGAAGCCCGCGAACCTACGCCTCGCGCGGCCCGGCGTCGACCCCGTCGCCGTCGACGCGATCGACGGGAGGCCCTGGACGCTCGGCGACTACGAAGCCGACCCCGACGAGCTCTGGATCAAGAATTTGGACATGGGCGAGCTCCGACGCGTCGCGGCGAACCTCGGCCTCGACGCCGTCGACGACCGGCGGCTCCTGGAGACGCTCGTCCGCGGCCGGTGGCGCCGGAGGCCCGAGGACGCGCCGCCGCCGCCGCCGTCGCCGAAGCCGGAGCCGGAACCGCCGAAGCCGCCGAAGCCGCCGCGGCCGCGGCTGCGCTTCGCGCCCGGCGACGACGTCGAGGCCTACGTGTCCGGCGCCTACGCGGACGGCGTCGTCGCGCGCGTCTGGTACGAGCTCACGCCGGCCCAGGTCCTCGCGCGCTACGGCGACCGGCCGCCCGCGGACGCGGCCGTGCCCTACGTCGTCGTCCTCGTCCCGAGCGGCGACTCCGTCGTCGTCGACGCGGACGACCCCAGTTTGCTCCGGCCGCGCATGCCGAAGCTCCGCTTCAGGGTCGGCGACCGCGTCGCCGCGCGCACGCCGACGGGCGACACGCCCGGCGAGATCGTCCGCTGCTGGTACCGCGAGCGCGACTGGCCGCCGGAGAAGTGGGCGGCCTACCAGGTGAAGCTCGCCGTCGGCGCGCTGACCTACGTGCCCACGGACGACGACAACACGGTCCGCCTGTTGCGGCCCGACGAGCTCGCGACGGGGCTCATCAGTAGTTAGTCTTGTAGCGGGTCGAGGTCGTCGTCGTCGCGCGCGTCGAGGGACGTGTCGGAGAGGTGGTCCTTGAGGAGCCGCTTGCGGTACGTGGCCGACGTCGGCGACCGCGTCGACGGGAGCACGGCCGCGCCGCGCCGGCAGGCGCCGCTCAGGCAGCGCCGGAGCCACGCGCCGCAGAGCGCGATCTTCAGCTTCGGCCTCGCGGGGTCGCGGAGCGGCGCCTGCTCGTAGACGACGCCGCCCAAAAGGCAGACGCAGAGGCTCAGGATGCCCCGCACGTTCGCGTGGCGCCGCCAGATCAGCGCGTTCGCGAGCACCGTGACGCACTTGTTCATGACGCCGACGACCGTATACGTCGCCGCGGACGTCTGCGACCGGCACAGCCAGCCCGCGTAGGAGATGCCCGTGCCGAGGACGCAGCCGACGGCCAGCAGCGCCAGGCCCGCCGGCGGCCAGTCCTCAAGGTCGGCGTAGTCCTCGACGGCCGCGCGGTCGTCGCTCGCGAGGAAAAGCGCGAGCATGACGGGCGCGGCGAGGACGTTCGTGTAGTAGACGGGCCCCCAGATCTTCGACGTCATACTCACGCCGTGGACGATGTGCTTGCCGTAGGTCATCTCGACGGCGATGACGCCCGCGTAGAGCGCCGGGTAGCGGTAGGCCCGCGCGCCGAGGCGCCGGAACGCGTCGTCGAACGACGCGTACGCGACGGCGCCGCCCGTGATCAGCGCCAGGCCGCACCACGCGCGCGCGCTCGGCAGCTCGCGGCCGAGGAACATGCTGTCGAGCAGCGCGACGGCGAGGGGCGTGAGCGTGCGGAAGACGATGACCGTCTCGACGTTCGCCGCCGCGAGCGACTTCATGTTGAGGAGCAGGGCGAGCGCGAATAACGCGACGTAGACGACGTAGCTCGCGACCTTGCGACGTTCGAGAGAGTCGACATCGAGGCACCGCGCGGCCCGGGCGAGGACGACGAAGGCGACGGCGAAGAGGATCTGCACGAGGGAGATCGCCGTCGGCACGGGCAGGAAGGACACCGTGAGCTTGTTCACGAGGAGCATGCTCGAGCTGAACACGCTGTAGAGCAAGATGCTGAAGACCGCATCCCACGTGAATTTGTTGCCGCCGTCGCCCATCTTTTCGACTCGACCTCCCGGGCCCCCTACGTTTAGAGACGCGTCGAGGCGAGTCGTCTCGAGAGTTTGCGGCGAGACCGCGACTCGGCCTCAACATCAGGCAACAACCCCAAATCGGATGACGCCGTAGCTTATGGGGCAGCCTTCGGAGGCGCGCGGGGGTGGTCTCGCGCAGCGGCCGGTGGTGGAGCTCGCCGCGTTGGGTCCGGTGGACGCTCGGGGAGGAGCGCCCCGCTGCGCGCGTCGATTGGGCGGCGGGGCGCCGCGCGCGAGAACTTGCAGTGCTTGGCCGTCGGCGCGACGTCGCCCACGGGCCCGGGGGGCTGCCGCGCGCGCTCGCTTCGTTCGGATGCCTTCGGCGTGAGTCTTGGGGGGAGCTGGTGGGGTCGGCGCCCTCGATGGCTTCGGTGTGCGGGCTTCGATGTGCCCGTGTCCATTCGTTTCTCTGCATTCTGCAGCGTCTCTTCGTAGCGTGGCGCTGTGTGCGGCTCCGTCGGCGTCGGCGTCTTCGCTCTCTTCGTCGGCGTCTCTGCTCTCTTCGGTCCCGCTGACTACGGGTGTCCTTTTCGGCGTGCGCCCTCGGCTAGCCACTCGTGGTCCTGAGGTGAATCGGCCTGGTCGAGCCGGAGTTCCTGCTCGTTTGCGTGCGAGTGCCCGCGGTCTCAACCTCCCCCGGTCCACGGAGAGTCCGGTGAGAGTGTCGTCTGAATGAGGCGACTCAGGAGCTGCCGCCCGGCGCCAATCCCGGCGTGCTCTCGGCGTGGCGGTCGGTACCAGGCTTGGCGCGAGTGTACCGCCGCCACACCTCCGATCCGAGTGCACGCGCGATCTTTGGGTCGGAGGAAGGGGCCGGTGTGGGAACGCCAACCCCCCGGCTACGCCTCCGTCTGAGCCTCCGGGCGGGATCTTCGGGTGCGCACCCCCTTCAATAACTAGTCCAACAAGTCCTCAAGTTGGCCTGGGACGACGAATCCTCGCGGCGTCGACGCTGCCCGACGCCGCCGGACGATGATGGCTGCGTGATGTCGTTCAAGGAGTTTCAGCAGCGGCGGCAGCTCGAGGCGGCGGCGAGCTCGCCCGTCCCGGCGCCCGCGCCGCCGCCCGCGCCGACGGCGCCCGCACCGACGGAGCCCATGGACGACGCGCCGACGGAGTCGAGCGGCGCCGCCGCCCCCACGACCTGGCGCGTCAAGGGCAAGCGGGGCGTGCTCGTGCGCGAGGCCGTGTCCCTCGACAGCGCTCTCGTCGGCGAGCTGCCGCACGGCGCGCTCGTCGAGCTCTTCGACGAGGCGAGCGCCGTCGTGTCCGCGCGGCTGCGCATCGTCGCGCCCGTCGACGGGTGGGTCACCGCGCGGCTCCTCGAGCCCGTCGCGCGACAACAACCCGTTGGTCCGTCCACCGGCCCGCCGCCGGCGCCGCCGCCGGACGCCTACGCCTGGGTCGCGAACCTGGAGGTGCCCGCGGCGTACGAGGGCCCCGCGCTCGGCGGCGGCGCGGTCGACGGCGCGTTCATCGACGCGGCGCTGATTCATCTCAGGTCCCAGAAGTTGTTGGACCGGCGGTCCGTGCTGCTGATTTTGGCACAAACGCGCCAGCTCCTCGCCGCGGAGTCGACGGTCGTCGATCTGGCGATCCCCGCCGCCGCGCCCCACTACACGGTCTGCGGCGACGTCCACGGCCAGTTCTACGACCTGCTCAACATCTTCGAGATGAACGGGCTGCCGTCGGCGGCGAACCCCTACGTCTTCAACGGCGACATGGTCGACCGGGGCTCGTTTTCCTTCGAGGTCGCGATTTCATTGTTCATGCTCAAGGCGCGCGACTCCTCCGCGGTGCACCTGAACCGGGGCAACCACGAGACGCGGACCATGGCCAAGTTCTACGGGTTCGAGGGCGAAATCCTGCACAAGTACGACCGCGCGGTGCTCGACCTATTCCACGAGTGCTTCTGCCTATTGCCCCTGGGGTGCGTCATCGAGCGGCGCGTCATCGTCGTCCACGGCGGCTGCCCGTCGACGGACGACGTCACGCTCGACGACATCCGCGCCATCGACCGCGACGACGAGCCGCCGGAGATCGGCGTCTTCTGCGACCTGCTCTGGTCCGACCCGCAGCCCCTCGACGGCCGGACGCCGTCGCGGCGCGGCGTCGGCCTGTCGTTCGGGCCGGACGTGACGCGCGCGTTCCTGGCCAAGAACGACCTGGGCCTGCTGATCCGCTCCCACGAGGTCCGGGAGAACGGCTACGAGGTCGAGCACGGCGGCGCGCTCATCACCATCTTCTCCGCGCCCAACTACTGCGACGCGGTCGGGAACAAGGGCGCGCTCATCCACCTCGGCCGGGACCTCGCGCCGAAATTCACGACCTTCGAGGCCGTGCCCCACCCGCCCGTCCGGCCCATGGCCTACAGCGCTTTCGCGCAGTTTACTTAGTACGTAACGCGTGTGTGCAGTAGGAGTGGGCGGGGACCTCCTCCCAGGGAACGTGCGGCCGACGCCCGGGCATGCCGAATTCATGTACACCCGGCCTTACGCGCGCGCGCCCTAGAGCGGCCGCGCGGTCGTCGGCGACGCGGGCCCCGGCGGCTTCGCGCGCCCCGCCATGGGCGGCGGGACGCGCATGTCGTCGGCGCCGCCGAGCTTGACCGTGAGGGGCACGTTGACGGTGACGACGTCGTCCGCGGAGCCGTCCGCGGAGACGCGCTGGCCGCGCGCGACGACGACCTTGACGGACTCGCCCGGCTTCCGCGCGTCCAACGCCTTGAACATGTCGGCCTCCGTGGACACCGTGCGGCCGTCGATCTCCATGATGACGTCGCCGAGCTGGAGGTTGCCGTCCGTCGACCGCGACGTGCCGCGCATGCCCGCGGCGGCGGCGGGCCCGTCCGCGGGCGCCGCGAGCACGAGCACGCCCTTGTCGATGCCCAACGCCTTGGCCTGGGCCGCTTCCAGGAAGGAGACGCCCATGATGGGCCGGAGCACCGTGCCCGTCTTGATGAGCGACGCGACGGATAAAGCGAGCGTGTCGATGGGGATCGCGAAGCCGACGCCGGACGACGCGCCGCTCGGCGAGTAGATGGCCGTGTTCATGCCCACGAGCTTGCCCAGGGAGTCGAGCAAAGGCCCGCCGGAGTTGCCCGGGTTGATCGCCGCGTCGGTCTGGATCACGTTCGTGATCGGCCGGCCAGTCGGGCTCCGCATCTCGCGGCCGAGGCCCGAGATGATGCCCTGCGTGAGCGTGTGGTCGAGGCCGAAGGGGTTGCCCACGGCGAAGACCGTCGCGCCGACCTTGAGGCCGTTCGACGTGCCCACGGACACGGGCCGGAGCGCCGCCTGGGCAGGAAAAGAGTGCGAAATTCCCAACTTTGGAGGCTCATCTCTCGGTCGTTTTCCACTCGTTTCGGCTAATTTTTGGACGAGCGATCATCTCTCGGAGCGCTCTCGACGCGTGGATGCTTTCTCTGGGACAATCGCGCGCGGAACCCTCACGTTGAAGCGACATTGAATCACTCTTTTCCTGCCCTGAGCGCCGCGGGCTCGTAGCCGTCGACGGTCAGCACCGCGATGTCCTTGTCCGGGTCCACGCCCCGCAGGCTCGCGCGCCGGCTCGTCTTGACGCCCGTCTTCGGGTCCAGGAGCGTCACGGACGCCTCCGCCGCGTTGCGGATGACGTGGTAGTTCGTGACGATGTGGCCGCTCCTGTCCCAGACGAAGCCCGAGCCCGTGCCCGCGGGCAGCTCGAGGATGTTGCTCGACAGCGCGTCGCGCTGCTCGACGAAGGTGTCGATGAAGACGACGCTCGGCGTGTTCCGCTCGAAGAGCGCGATCGTCTCCTGCTCGACGCCGCGCAGCGACTGGGCCGCGGCGGCCAAGGGCGCGCCCAACGCCGCGGCGACGCCGCCGACGAGCCGCCGCAGCGTCGCGCGCCGCGTCGGCGGCGCGACGGCCGACGAGACGGCGAGGCACGCGGCGAGCGCGACGGCGCGGAGGCCGCGCGATTTCCACGGCGCGGCCATGCCTCTGCACGTCTCGACTTCCTCGGAAGATTGTTGTAGGTAAAGGAGCTTCGTTGAAGGAGACGATGGCTTAGAACGTCCTCGCCAACTCGCGCGCGGCCGCGACGGCGGCGTCGAAATTCGCGGTTCCCTCGACGAGGCCGCTGTTCGCGAGGACGAACGCGCGCGCGGCCTCCTCCGCTCGCGCGAGGCGCGCGGCCTCGGCCTTGATACCGCCATGTTTGCTGTTTTGCGTACTACCGTGCTGAGTCCTCGAAGAACCTTTGCCCACAACGCGATAGTTTTTGAGCATTGCGCTGATTCGGTTTCGCGGATCGCTGATTCGGTTTTGCGGAGTATTTTTGAAGATCGTCTTGCCCTCGCCCGCGGCTCGTTCGCGGCTTCTGGCCAAGGCAACCGCCGGGTCCGGGCTAGGGTAGTGGAGCGAGGATGGCTTGCCGCAGCCCCAGAGGCGGCCCTGGGCCTTGCCTTGCTTGAGGTAGTGCCTGTGGAGCACCACCATGTCGCAGAACTCGACCTCGCCGTCGCAGAGCGTCCTGACGAGGTCGGAGTAGCGCCGCGCGTAGCACCGTGCTGCTTCTTCGCGTCTCTCGTGGACGTTGATGACTTCCGCGAGATGAGTCTCCAACGCGGCCGCGGCCTTTTTGCTGGGGGCCCCTTTGTACTGGGAGTTGAAGCCGCGGGCGGCGCGCGACCCGAGCATCTCCTTCGCGACGGCGGCCTCGTGGCGCTTGATGTAGCGCGTGAGCCCGAGCAGGTCGACGAGCGAGAGGCCGTAGTCCGCGGCGACGGCGGCCGGCGACACGTCCGCGAGGTCACCCTCCTGGTTGTTGCCGCCGGTGGACGTCACGGACCGCACGCGGAAGACCGGCGGCGGCGACGACGGCGACGACGCGTTGACGACGATGTTCTGCACCTGGAAGGGCTGGACCCGGAGCTTGTCGTGGTTCGCGGAGCAGGGCCGCGGCGCGCAGGGCGGGACGGCGCCGTCGAGGACGACGTGAAACATGGCGAGGCCCGACGCGACGCAGCCCCGGTCCTGCCGCTCGTAGAAGGCGTCGAGGTGGACGCTCTTCGGCTTTTTTCCCGCGCTCGTCGCCTCCCACTCCTTCACCTCGGCGCTCTTCCAGTTCAGGGACCGCGACGAGCAGGCGTAGGCGTACGTCGACGTCGGCGACAGCTCGCCGCGGTGCAGCGCGCGCCAGTCCGCGAGGAGCCGGAGGTAGTCGACGTGGAGGCCGTCGTCCGCGTCCAACCGCACATACGCGAACTCGCGGGCGTCGTGCATGGCTCTGCGCCAGCGCGATGCCCCAAACACCCCTTCGAAGAGCGTCGCGTTCGGCGCCGTTTTGTTCGCCTTTCCCCCGGGGACGAGCCGCGCGTGCGGGAGCGGCCGCAGCGCCTGCTCGATTCGTCGCCGCGGCGCGTCGCGCAGCTTCGGGTCCGTGAGGAGGACCCAGACGAAGCACTGGTTCGTCTGGTGGGCCAGGGACGGCACGGCGACGGCCAGCAGCTGCTCGAGCCGCGCGGCGACGAGCTCGGGGAACTGGCCCTGGCCCTGCATGAAGCGCGTCTCGACGACCGTGACGGTGCGTGTCGTGCGGCCGCAGCCGCCGCCGAACCAGTCCGCGACGTCGAAGGGCGCGGCGGGTTTTGTCGCTCTTGCGGAGCAGAGTAGCGCGACGAGCAGCGTCCGCATCATCCTATGCGAGCATCGTAAATTCGAAGTCGGTTCGGCGAACGAGCGGAGCCGCGAGGCCCCCCGGGTTCCCATGTAGCGAAGTGGCCCCCGCCGACCCCGGGGCGACGACGACCGCGCCCGGCGGGTGACGCCTCGGGGGCGGAACGGGCGCGGTCGCGGTCGTAGGGAACGCTTTGACTCGGGCGTCGCGGGCGTCGCGACGGGTCGTAAAAGCGGTGTCTGGCGACTCTTTTTGGGACGCCGAGAGAGGCGGGGTATGTCAAATAATGCGCTGTAAATTTACGAGGCGTGAGTGCGAGGTGTTAGTGCGGCGCGAGATCGCATTGATGGTCCTCCAGGTGGAGCGCTCAGGAAAAGCGAAGGCATGAGTGCCGTGCCGCCCCTTGCCTGTGCGGCGCCGGACTCCGTCGGCACACCGTCCATCACAACATACGTAAACTACACCACCGCCCCCTCGTCGGCCGGCGTGTCGTACCGCTCGGCGACGTCGAGGAAGACGGACTCGAGCGTCGGCTGCGTGAAGGCGGCCTCGTCGATCTTGAGCCGCGGCTGCGCGGCCGCGAGCGCCTCGAAGACGTTGCCGAGCGCGCCCGCGCGCGCCCTGGGCACCTTGTAGTGGCGCGCGCGGCCCAGGACGGCGTGGGGCGCCGCGGCGCCGAGGGACGTCGCGAAGGCGTCGACGGCCGCCGGCGCCGCGCCCGCGCCGAGCGTCGCCTTGAGGTCGAAGTCGCCGCCGAGCTTCGTCTTGAGGCGCTGCGACGTGCCGAGGCAGCGGAGCTTCCCCCGCACCAGGATCGCGAGGCGGTCGCAGAGCGCCTCGCACTCGTCCATGAGGTGCGTCGTCAGCACGACGGCGCGGCTGCCCGCCGTCTCCGCGACGACGTTCCACAGTTTCCGCCGCGCGACGGGGTCGAGACCCGCGGACGGCTCGTCGAGCAGCACGCAGGCCGGGTCCCCCACGAGCGCCACGGCGACGCAGACCTTGCGCTTCGCGCCGCCGCTCAGCGCGTGGGCCTGCTTGGACTTGTGCCGCCGCAGGTCCAGGCGGTCGAGCGTGTAGTCGATCTTCGCCTCGAACGCCGCGCCGTCCGCGGCGCCGCGGAGCCGCGCGAAGAGCCGCAGGTGGTCCCGGCACGTGAGCGTCGGCCATAAGGTGTTGTCCTGGGCCACGAAGCCGAGCCCCTTCGACGCCGCCTCGAAGTCCGCCAACACGGAGACGCCGCGGATTCTCGCGTCGCCCGCCGCGGGCGCCGCGTGGCGCACCAAAACGTCGATCGTCGACGTCTTGCCCGCGCCGTTGGCGCCGAGCAGGCCGAAGACCTCGCCGCGCGCGACCTGGAAGGACAGGTCGTCGACGGCGACGACGTCCGCGGCGTCGCCGCGGCCGGGGTAGACGACGCGGAGCCGGTCGACCGCGAGCGGCGGCGGCGGCGTCGAGCCTCGCGCCGCCGCGACGGCCCGGCGCTCCGCGGCGACGTCGCCGTCGTCGTCGTCGCTCGCGGGCCGCGGGTGCGGCGTCGGCGCGAGCCCGCGGTACGCGCGCGCGTCGGACGACGCCGCGTACGAGAAGTGGAGGACCGCGGTCGCGGCCATGATGGCGACGATGACGCCGCAGGGCGTCGGCCCGCCCGCGGGCCACGTGTCGTGCGCGAGCTCGTAGAACCCCACGGTGAACGCGGCGATGGGCGACACGAGAACCCCGAGCCACGACTGCTTGCTCTGGACGGACTCGAAGCTCATGCCAAAGTGCTTGAAGATCGTCACGAACAAGAACAGGATGATGATCTGGGGCACGATGAGCGACAGGAACTGGCCCAGGGGCACGCCCACGTAGACGGCCGACGGCGTGTCGAAGAACGTCGACGCCGAGTACGCGAGGGCGACGTTGAGCGCGGCCCACGCCGGCAGCATGTAGAAGACGCGGCCGCCCGTGAACCACCGCGGTTCGCCGAGCGCCGCGACGACGACCCACGTGCCCACGACGTTCACGGAGCAGAGCACGTAGTCGCCGACGAAGTTGCCCGTCCAGTAGGCCCTGCGCCCGCAGCCCGCGACGTTCAGCAACGCGCGGAGCTTGAGCTGGCGCTCGCGGACCAAGCGCGCGCAGCCCGCGGCCGGGTACAGGAGCCAGCCGCAGGCGCACACGAGCATGACGCAGATGTCGCGGCCCTTCCGGTCGTCGCCGAAGGCGCCCATGGAGTCGAGCGCGAACGCGACGATCGCCGCGTACGTCGGCACGGCAGCGACGACGACCTCGTAGGGGTCCCGCGCGACGATGGTCAGCTGCTTGCGCCACAGGGCCAGCGCCTGCCGCCGGTCGTCGGTCTCGAGCGCCCCCCACTCGAGCGTCGGCCGCGCCGGCGGCTTCGCCGCCGCGGGCGCCGGGCCGGCCGCGGCGTCGTGCGGGTCCGCCTCGACGACGTCGTCGTCGTCGTCGCCGCCCTCGCCGACCTTCAGGAACACGGCCTCGAGCGTCGACGGGCCGACGCCGTAGGACGCGATCCTCAGCTCCGCGAGCGCGCCGTCGTCCAGGGCCCGGAAGAGCGCCGGCAGCCGGTCCGCGGCGCCGGCGTCGAGCGTCGCGACGATCTGCCGCTCCGCGAGCCGCGCCTCGGCGCCCGTGCGCTCCCGCTTCCCGTTGAAGCCCATGTGCTCGAACAGGAACGTGTCGAAGGCCGCGAGCGCCGCGGGCCGCGCGCCCGCCGCGCGCTCGCAGCACAGCCGGAAGCCGCCGCCGAAGCGCTTCTTCAGGAACAGGGACGACCCGACGCATTTCACGACGCCGCGCGCCATGATCGCGATGGCATCGCCCAAAATGTCCGCCTCGTCCATGTAGTGCGTCGTCAACAGGAACGTCCGGCCCGGCTTCGCGTCGGCGATCGTGTTCCAGAGCTCGCGGCGCGCGGCCGCGTCCATGCCTACCAAATGCTTCGGTGACCATTTTTCATCGTTTTCCCGGTCAAAACCTCTCGAAAATCGTCGCAGGACGCTGGTCCGTGCCCGCGGTCGGCTCGTCCAGCACGACGAACTTCGTCTTCGCGCCCGCGAGCGCCAGGGCCGTCGACACCTTGCGGCGCATGCCGCCGCTCAGGTGCGGCGGCGCGTGCGCCGCGAACGCGGCGAGCCGCGTCTCGCGGAGCGCGTCGGCCGCGTCGGCCGCCGGGCCCGCGGCGCGGCGCAGCGTCGCCGCTAGCACGAGGTGCTCCTCGACGGTCAGGTCGTCGAAGAAGGTGTCGTGCTGGGCGCAGTAGCCCAGCGTCGTGCGGATCGCCGTCATGTCCGCGAGGTCCCGGCCGGAGACGGACGCGGTCCCCGACGTCGGCGTCGCCAGCCCGACCAGCGTGGCGATCGTCGTCGTCTTGCCCGCCCCGTTGTGCCCCAGGAGGCTGAAGCACTCGTTCTCGTAGAACGCGAGGTCGACGCCGTCGACGGCCACGACCTCGTCGCCGCCGAACGTCGCGAAGACCTTGCGGAGGCCGTCGGCGACGACCGTCGGTTTCCCCGGCGACGCGTCGCGCGGCTGCGCGACGACGTCGCGCCTCCGGAGCGCCTCGTGCTTGAGGAGCGCGAGGTCCTCGGGCGCCGTCCGGAGGGACCGGAGCGTCTTCAGGACCTGGCCGACGTCGACGTCGCCGGCGAAGGCGAATGCCGCGAGGAGCCCGTAGACGACGACGTCGACGAGGAGCATCGCGCAGATGCCTCCGATGGTCACGCCCGTGTAGGGCGCGTCGTCGCCGCGGTCGTTCGTCGGCGGGCCGCGGAAGGAGTCGGCGCCGAGGAGGAGCGCCGCCATGGGGTGGAGGCACGCGAGGTACTGCGCCGCCGGGGAGACGGCCGCGGCGTCCGAGTGGCCGTCGAGCATGTCGACGACGCACAGGAAGAAGAGAGCGACGCCCAGGGTCTGCCAGAGCAGGAAGCCCTGCGTCGCCGCCGACGCCGACGGCGCCCGCGCGTCGTAGGGCGCGACCGCCGCGCCGAGCGCGCCGTTCGCGACCGTCGCCAGATTGAAGCAGACGAGGAGCCCGAGCACGAGGAAGAAGCTCGCGCCCCGAAAGAGGCCGAAGCCCGCGGCGAAGGTTGCGGCGACGACGGCGCCCAGCAGGCCCACGGCGGCGAACTCGACGAGGAACGCCGCCAAATACGCCTCGCGCGACGCGCCGCAGACCTCGAGCATCTCGACCTTCTTTTCGGCGACGTCTCGCGCGAAGGCCGACACCGCGAGCTGCCCGAGGAGCATGGCGCCCGCGGGCCAGAGCACGAGCTCGATCCAGCCCGTGGAGTCGAACCAGCCATCGCCGAAGGCGGCGTAGATCAGGTTTAAGAGCAAAAGCACGGCGACGGGGCCGAAGACGACCGTGGCCGTCTCGCGCGTGCGCCGCCGCCGCGCAGCCGCAGGAGCGTCGACGACTCCCGGAGGATCGCCTCCGGCTCTCGCATGTTCGCAGCAAGCGGGAGACTAGGCTTCCATCACCTCGTGTGAGGAAAGTCAAAGAAAACACCTGGGTGCACTTTTTGGTGAAGATGGTGAAGTGCCGGGATGCAATTGCAACCCCTCTCGAGGCGGAACCCCCCCAGCCAGAGACCAACCACGAAGGACAGGCAGTTACCACGCGACGCAGATCAGAAAAAGTTGGAGCCGTCGTCGGAGACGGAGCGGCGCGGCGTGTCGCGGTAGTAGAACGCGGCCATGTGCGTCGACTTCACGATGGGCCCGTCGCCGTCGCCGTCGTCGTCGTCGCCGGGCGTCGTGCGCGGCGGCTCCTCGCGCTGGACGGCGTCGGCGGACTTGGCGCGGCGGCGCTGGACCTTGACGAAGGAGCCCGCGCCGCCGGGCCCGTCCTCGCCGCTCGCCGACGACGTCGACGCGCTCGCCGCGTCGAGGTCCTGGGCCGACGCGTGGGGGCTCACGACGGGGTCGACGACGTTGAGGCCGCTGAGCTGGAGCAGCGACGGCGACGTGTAGAACGACGGCGTGCGGCCGCGCGCGTCGATGCCGGCCGCGGTCCGCTCCGGGTCGCGCTCCGGGCTCCGCTCGCGCGTCGCCGGCGCGTCGTCCGCGTCGCGCTCGCGCGCCGCGAGCCTGCGGCGCAGGCGCTGGACGCCCGTCTCCAGCGCGATCTCGACGGCGCAGTGGTCGCGGATCTTGGGCAGCTCGCGCCACGTGTTCCGCTGGCCCGCGTCGATGACCTCCTCGAGGCAGACGCCGCCGACTTTCGGTAAGGGGTTCGACAGGCACTTGAGGATGACCTCGTAGAGGCTCAGGTGCCCCGCCCAGGGCACGATGGTCACGTCCTGGGGCCGGCCCTCGTAGGGCTGCGTGAGCACGTTGATCGCCCAGCCGCCGAGCTGCCACGGCAGGAGCTCGCCGCCCGCGGCCAGGGCCAGGCCGCCGAGGCGCAGCGTCGTCGCGTAGACCGCGGCGTCGAGCACCCAGGCCTTGAGCTGCGCCTTCACGAAGCCCAGCGTCGCCAGCGCGAGCGCCTCGCACCCGGACGCGAGCGACGTGCCGCCCGGCGCCATCTGCAGCCCCAGCCCCGCGGACGACTCGCGCACGCCCGGCGCCTCGGACCCCGCGAGCCGCAGCGCCGAATCCCCGAGGATCGCCGCGTGGGCGTTCGTCTGCGAGCACACGAAGTGGTTGCAGTTGAACATGGCCTTCATCGCCTCGATGGGCAGGTCCGCGCCCATGGACCCGTCGACGTAGAGCGCCGGCTCGAAGGACCCGTCGTCGTCCAGCGGGCAGCCCTCGTAGCGCAGCGTGCCGTCCGGGTCCCGCGCGAGCAGCGGGCTCGGCGCGTAGATGCCCGGCACGGAGCACGAGCACCGCGCGGCCGACCAGACGACGACGTGCGGCGTCTTCAGGTAGTTGAGCAGGCGGCTGTCGGCGCGCGCCGTCACGTGCGACGAGTGGCGGTCCGTCGTGTCGACGGCGCGCACGGGGATGTTGAGGATCCTCCCCGTCTTGTCGAAGGCCTCCTGGAACGTCAGGTCGCCGCCGACGTCCGCCCTAATGACGTCCGCGAGGTGGTCCCCGTTGAGGATCGACTTCTCGTGGAAGAGCACGTTCTGGTCCAGGTAGAGGTCCTTGAGCGAGTTCACGGACCGCCACTGGAAGAAGTCCAGCCGGTAGACCGTGTCGACCTTCCTCTCGAGCTTCTCGAGCGACCGCCGCGACCGGTGCCGGTCCTCCGCGTCCTCGCCGAAGTAGACCGCGCAGGGCCGGCTCCGCGGCTCCAAAGCGTCCACGGCCGCCTCGTCCAGGTTCCGCGCGCCCTGGCGCTTCATGGCCTCGAAGACGCCGTGGAGCTCCGCGTCCGTGCGGCAGCACACGAGCGACGCGACGATGGACCCCGCCGACGCGCCCGAGATCACGCGCGGCAGCAGCCCCGCGGTCCGCAGGACGTCCACGACGCCCAGGTGGTACACGCCCATGCCCGCGCCGCCGCTCAGCAGCAGCGCCGTCCGCCCGTGCGCGTGGCGGCACTCGTTGAAGAACGCTAAACGAGCATCCACGGGCACGGACGCGTCGCGCGCCGTCGCCACGTACTCCAGCGCCGTCGTCGCCGCCGTGATGTAGCGCTCGACGACCTCCGGCCCGCCCGCGCGCGCCGTCTCGTAGAGCCGCGGCTCGAGCAACCCGAACGCGTCGCGCGGGAGCAGCGCGCCGCCGCGGAGCGCGTACATGGCGCCGTGGACGCCGTGGCTCTTGCAGCGCGCGACGAGGCGGCCCAAGGCGTCGGCGGCCTCGCCGACGCGCCGCGCGTCGAGCAGCCGCTCGCCGCCGCCGCCGGCCTCGCGCCACGCGGACGACCCGTCGGCGTCGTCCAACGCGCGGGCCGCGGCGACGTACTGCGCGCGGGTCTCCGCCTTCGTCAGCGCGCCGATCATCTGGTTCGCGGAGAAGCCCCGCGAGCCCTTGCGGCCCTTGCGGAACGCGTGCCACGTCAGGACCGTTAACTGTAGGAGCCCCGCGAGCGCGAGCTGGTGGAGCACGCGCTTCGGGCCGAGCGTCACCTCCAGCAGCTCCCAGGCGCCGCGCTCGAGGCGCGGCGCGAGGCGCATGGCGCCGGCGCCGAGCTTGGGCAGGACGACGCGCACGAGCCGCAGGCAGAAGTCGCGCGCGGAGTTGGCCTCGACCTTGTACGCGAAGGGCGTCATCGTGTTGTAGCGGTGGAGGGGCATCGTTTTTTTGTTTTTTTTGGGTGTTCGCGCGGCGCCCGCGACGGCGTGCGCGCCGGCGCGTGGAGTGTCCGCGCGCACCCTGTTTGCACTCGACGCGCCCCGCGAAGACGGACGAGAATCGGACGGCAACAAGAGATCAACAAGAAGGCGTGGCGCGTTCAACGTCGGCGCGAGCCGCGCGCGTTCCTCGTAGCCGTCCCTCGGCTCGTGGCGCCATTTGTGTTGCTCTAGCGCCGAGCGGCGGGCCTCGTCGCCTCGGCCTCGACTATCGTCGCTGTCCGCCAGCGGTTTGGTCGCCAGTTTGATCTAACCGCTTCGGCGCGGAACGCGGCGGCCGTCGCCTCTTTCGAGAGTTCATGACCTTCGCGACCGAACCGCCGACGTTCACCAAAGTCTGCTGGTAGCTGCTGTTGGGGTGCGTCACCTAAGGTGGGGGCAAGGGAGGGTGGACCGGGGAACGGGGGTCGTTCACGTTGAGAGAAGAAGAAAGGCGCAAAACACACGCAACAAGGTGCGACGGCGCGGCTCGCAATGAGAGCGTCAGAGCACCTCGCGCTCCCTATTCCTAACCCGTTCGCTCTCATGGGCCCCCGCCCGCGCTAACCCGCAGCCCACGCTCGCTACCGTCGCGCTCCCGTCGCGCGCTCAGGCAGAGCAGCGCGAGATCCTAACGTCTCGTCGAAGAATTTTTTTCGGGAACGCCCCCGCGTCTGCAGGACGGTTGGCTGCCGTAAAGACGAGCTGTGGACAGCGAGACGTGCGGCGGAACGCGCGCGGCGACAGCCGTCGGCGGCGCGCTGCGCACTTGCGCCCCGCCACCGCCACTAGACATCGATTTCCCCACTAGAATGAGCTCTGAGCTCAGAGAGCATGTTGGTTGATTTAGAGACCTTATGCAGCCGCTATGGCATGGATTCTAGCCGTTCTTCTTCGTGCGCGCCCCGGACATGTTGCGACGACAACCACGCGCAAAAATCGGCGCTCGATGTGGTCGCGCGCGTCCGGAATCGGCTCAAAAGTGGTCGATTTGCGAGTTATAGCCCATGGATCCAAGGGTTTGCGCGAGTTCGGGCGTGCCAGGAGTCGCAGGGGCGGCGATCGTGTCCTATTGTTACCCCACCGTCGCGCTGCGCAAGTGGTTCCGCGTCGCGGGCTCCGTCGGCGTTTTTACAGCGTTCGAGAGCGTGTCGGCGTTTCGCTCGGGAAGCCTCGAACGCGCAGCCGTGGACTCGAAAACAGCCCCGACGGTCGTCTGGCGGTCCGGTCAGCTCGGTCTATGTACTGAGCGTCCTAAAACGACCAAGGGACGGGCAAAGCTGCCTCGGGCGACTCGATGACCCCGAATCGACTCGAAATCATCAAATCCGAGCACCTGGCGCGGCGGCGGTGGCCGCGCGCGCGCGTCGCTCGGCAACAAATAAGCTTTGGCCGACCTCCTAGGACTGATGCGCCGCGGAGCCGCCGAAAACCGCACCCGAATCGGTGTCGACGCCGCCGAGAACGAGCTGCGCAGGCCGCCGCCGATGTCGAGTGGCGGCCTCCAGCCAATCAGGACGCAAGTGTGCGCCCGCGACGCCAGCACAGCACTCGTGGCACGCTGCGTCTCAACAACGAGGCGCACCGACACAACGATGGCCAAGCTCCTCGCGCTTCTCGCCGTGTCGGCGACGGCGTTCACCGTGCCGAGCACGCGACACGCGCTGCGGCTGCGAACACCGCTGCGCGCCGCCGACGACGCCGAGGACCTGCTGGCGCAGGCCGCGGCGCTGCGCGCCGAGGCGGGCACGCTGCAGAGCGAGGTGAGCGCGGCGGCGGCCGTCGCGGACCCCGTCGCGGCCAAGGCGAACGAGGATGGCGCGAACAAGATGAAGATCAAGGCCGCGCTGCGCGCGGCGACCGAGAGCGGCGCGGGCCCGGCGTCGCTCCGACGCGCGGCGCGCGACGGAAACTCACCCGACGCTCGCGTAGGCGACAAGGCGATGCTGCAGGCGTCGCTGGGCGCGGCGGAGGCGGCGGGCTTCTCCGGCGACGACGAGGTCGTCGCGGCCGCGGTCGCGGCGTTCAACGCCGGCGTCAAGCCGAAGCAGGGCATCAGCGACGAGATGAAGAAGCGGCTGACGAAGGAGGCGCAGTCCGGGGACCCGACGCAGCTCGACTACGACGGCGGCCTCAAGACCTACGGCGCGATCTTCGCGATCATGACCGTCCTCGTCGTCCTCGGCGGCAAGGACATCCTCTACTGAGGCGGGGGGTCCGTGTTTAAAAGAAGGAGTGAAACGAAAGAAGGGTGATTACGGCGGGCACCCGGGCGGAGACGTCGCCGCGGGCGCCGAGGGGGCGAGCTCACAGCGCGGGGACCGCGTCGAGCTCGTCCGCGGGGTCCGCGTCGCGGGGCGCGTAGGCGATGAGCGGCGGCGTGCTGCCGCCGTTGGTTCGATACGACGAGGGCGACGTCTCCGCCGTCGGCGGCGTCGACGCGGACGTCGACGCGGGCGACGCCGCGGCGCCGAGGAGGAGGCCCGGTGGCAGGAACGAGTCCGCGCGCGGGCTCCCGTAGCCCGGCGCCGGCGGCGTGATGGCGACGTAGAAGCCGTAGCCGCCGTTGTGGGACTCGCCGCCCGTGGGCAGGGCGCTCGGGTGCTCGTCGTCCTCGTCGTCGTCGCCCGCGAGGCGGAGCCCGGACGCGTACTGGCTCAGCGACGACGCCACGCGGGGCGGGAGGACGATGGTGAGGAAGGCGCCGAGGGCGCCGACGAGCGGGTGCGTGCTCAGCGTGCTGAACCACTTGACGGACGTGGAAGAGGTCTTCCGTTTCTGTTCCTCCCGCGCGCCGGCGCGCCGGAGGTCGCCCTCGCGGCGCCGCAGGGGCAGCTGCGGCACGCCGTCGGCGTCGACGAGGTCCTCGTCGAAGCTCAGGGTCGACGACGTCGAACTGAGGGACGCCATGGACCCGAGTTGGCGCTCGAGCGTCGACATGTTGACGTTCGGATGTTCAAACTGAACCGATCGCCCGCGGGCCTCGTTCGCGGCGCCCGGCCGCGGGATCGGCCGCGGCGGCGCCCGGGCGCGGGCGGCGGCGGGGCGACGCGGTCGGAGCGGCGCGCGGGCCTCAACAGCGCGCGCTTCTGGCGGTCTTCGCGCCCTGCTTCTCTTAGAAGCTTCACCTCGAATTCATGCTTGCAAGGGTTTTCTAAAACACGACTTTATTTTCAGGATCGACGAGCTACGCGACGTGGTGTCAATCGGCGCGCGCCGCCAGACCCCGCCGAGCGGTGCGCGAGCTGCGCAAAGACTCCGAGCATGGTCGCGACGCGCGGGCGCGGCCCAGAACGACCTTACGTCCCCGGATCGACCCCTGCGCTCGGCGGAGCGGTGCCGCTAGCTCGTCGATCCTGAAATAAAGTCGTATTTTACAAAACCCTACTAAGCATTAGAATGGGCAACAAGCCAAAGCTGCCCCTCACCAAGGCGGTTCGATACAACCGCGCTGTCGCAGGGCAGCCCGCTCGTCGGCGGCCGCGGCGCGGGACCATGACGGGCCGCCAGAAGAGCGCGGCGAGCGCCCAGCTCATGGAGGTACGCGCGCATCTGAGAAAAAATGAGCAGCTTTGAGTCATTCGTCCCCGCGCGCGCAGCACATGTCCATCTTCGCGGAGCAGAGCTCGATCAAGGCGCTGCTCCAGGAGTACATGAAGGTCCGGGGCCCGCGTCTCGTGATAAACGTGTCGCGCGCGCGCGATGTCCGGCAAACGCCGACCCGCGATCCCAAAAACCTCCCCCGCAGCGCGTCGTGCTGACCAAGCCCGACGACCCCGTCGCGTTCCTGATCAAGGAGATCAAGGAGAACCCGCACGTGCCCGAGGGCAAGACCCTCGAGCCGGACATGCGCTCCGCCAAGGAGCAGGAGTCCTGCCTCGACGTCCGCGCGCTCAACACGAAGAAGAAGCTCCTCCGGGGCATCTTCGACGCGCACAAGAAGGACGACACGGTCAACCGCGGCGAGCTCCTCGTCGCGCTGTCGGAGAACCCGACGATCTTGCTCGAGGCGTTCCCGAGGCACGCGACGGACCTGCCGCGCTGCATCGAGCTCATGGACGCGCCGCGGTCCGGCGAGATCACGTGGAAGGTCTTCTGCTCCAAGGCGCTCCTCTGCCTCTCCCAGCCGGGCTCCTCGCCGAACTAGGGCGCTCGGCGCCGCCCCGTATAAGCCGCATGGTCGAGAGCGCGTCGCTGCGATCGCAAGCGAGCGCGCGTCGCGCGGTGCCTGCCAAGTTGCCTGCCGTATCAGAAGAAATCACGATGGTGGTGGCCTATGCAGCCCGAGTGATGGTGGCCTGAGAGACCAAGGGTGGCGGGAGGCGTCCTTCGCCCGTGTCGAAGCGCTGCGTCATGACCTGGATGAAGCCCCATGTCACGTAGGTCTATGGCCTCTTCGACCTGCTCGAGGCGGCGGCCATCGACACGCTCACGCACGAGGAGCTGCGCGAGGCCCTGGACCTCGCCACCGAGGACGAAGACGACGACGCCGCCCTGCGCTGGGCCTCGGAGCCCGGCGTCGTCGTCGTCGCCACGCCAGCGTCCCGTCACGCGCCGCTCCGCGGATCACGGCGCGCCGCAGGTGGACGGCCGCGACCGCAAGGACTACGAGGCGAGCCACGTCCCGGGCGCGATCTCGATGCCCTACTTCGACTTGTACTTCGAGTGGCGCAGCGCGAAATACGTCGCGCTCGCGCAGCGCGTCGTCGCCTCGGGCCGCCACGTCGTCTGCTACGCGAACACGGGCGGCACGGAGGGCATGGGCGCGGGCCGCTGCATGCGGCTCTGCAACTTCTTCTACGAGTGCTGGAAGGTGCCCGTGGACCGCATGCACCGGTTGCGGGACGGCTACGCCGACTGGAAGAAGCGGGGCTTCCCCGTGTCGACGGTGGATTCCGACGAAGTTACCCAGCCGCCGCGCTACGTCGCCGCGCCCCGCGAGGAGGAGGACGACGACGACGGCGCGTCCGTCGCGACGACGGCGACGACGTCCTTCGCGAAGGGCTCGAGCCATCCCCCTGCGGGCGCGGTTCGGCCGGGGCGCCGGCGGCGCGCGCGAGCCGGGGCAGCGCGCCGCCTACGTCGTCCAAACGAAACGCGGCGCCAGGGTCCGCGCGGGCGCCGCGCTCGACTCGGCGCTCGTCGCCGAGCGCTTCCTCCGCGTCGCGGCCCTCGACGCGGGCGAGGCGCGAGTGCACGTCGCGGGGCCCTGGGGCGACGGCTGGGTCTCGGCGAAGTGCCTCCACGGGCCGCTCGCGCTCGGCGCCGCGGAGCCGCCGCCAGCGGGGTAAACGTGCCGCAGTGCTTGGACGCGTCCGTGGAGGCGGTCTTGGAGGCGTCGACCGACGCGTCCAGGCCGGCGAGTGGCGGGCCGGGCCGAGCCCCCGTGGATCCACAATTGTCGGGCTGGCGTAAGGAAGTAACGTTTGCACTTCAACGAATACTTCAATCCAAGTCCTTGCACCTAAAACATCGAGGTGGCCTGTCGCCGACACGAGCACAGCGTTGCGAGCAACACCAGCGAGCACCGGCCACCACCGACGATGTCCGTCCAATTAATCAAACAGCTGCGCGCCGCGTCCGGCGCGCGCATGGTCGATTGCAAGGCGGCCATCGAGGCCTGCGGCAACGTCGACGACGCCTTCGAGTGGCTGCGCAAGAAGGGCATCGCGCGCGCCGCCAAGCTCTCGGACCGCGTCGCGGAGCACGCGCGACGCAGCGCCTGCGACCGCGAAACTTCCTCCACTGACCGTCGCGTCCGTAGGGCCTCGTCGCGTTCCGCCGCGCCGGCGGCGTCGGCTGCCTCGTGGAGGTGAACTCGGAGACGGACTTCGTGGCGCGCAACGCCAAGTTCCAGGCCTTCGTCGGCGACCTCGCCGACGCGACGCTCCGGCGCTACGGCGACCTCGGCGCCGCGGCGTCCGCGGCGACGGGCGCGGCGCGCGTCGACGGCGACGCGCTCGCGGCGCTCGCGCTCGCGAACGGCGAGCCCTGCGCCGACGCCGCCGCGGCGCTGTCGGCCCACGTCGGCGAGCGCGTCGTCGTGCGGCGCGCGCGGCTCCTCGGGGGCGACGTCGTCGGCGCGTACGCGCACGCGGCCGTCGGCCCCGGCGCGGGCCTCGCCGCGTCGCTCGTCGCGCTGTCCGGCGACGTCGCCGGCCGCGACGCCGCGGGCCTCGACGCCGTCGCCAAGGCGGCGGCCATGCACGCCGTCGCCGCGCGGCCCGTCTACCTCGACGCGGGCCGCGTGCCCGCGGACGTGCTCGCGAAGGAGCGGGCGGTCCTCGTCGACCAGCTCGCGGACTCGGGCAAGCCGGAGAACATCGTCGAGAAGATCGTCGCCGCGCGCCTCGCCAAGTTCGCCGGCGAGAAGTCCCTCGCGGGCCAGGCCCACGTCGTCGAGGGCGGCAAGGCGACCGTCGCGGCCGTCGTCGCGAAGGCGCTCCCGGGCTTCGAGGTCTCGGGCTTCGCGCTCTGCACCGTCGGCGGCGACGACGCGGCGGAGTAGGCTCCTACTACGCGAATGCGAATTTAAATCGAGGCGAGGCGCGCGCGGCGTCTCTCCGCGCGGGCTTCGGAAACCCCGGGGGCTCATCGTGTTCGAGCGAGCGTGCCGCCGTTCATGACGGCCGTGACCTCGCGCTTCTCGCGCTTCGCCTCGCGCTCCGCCTCCTTGCGCTCCAGGCGCTCGCGGCGCCTCCGGTCCGTCGCCGCGCGCTCGTCCTCCGAATTTTCCAGCTCCTGCGCGAGCCGCCGCTTCTCCGCGGCGATTTTGTGCTTCTCCTCGCGCTTCCGGCGCGTCTTCGACTGCTTGCGCGTGCCGTTGACCTCGCGGGCCACGGCCGGCGGCGGGCCGAAGTTCGACTCGAGGAGGCTGTCGTAGCGGCTCGCCTCGCCGTCGGATGCGGGCGGCGCGCTCAGGTGGAGGCTGCCGTCGTCGTCGGCGAGGAGCACGCGCGAGGCGCGCGCCGGCGGCGCCGGCCTCGCGGGGAAGCGCGCGGTGCGGCCCGACGAGGCGGCGGCGACGCCGAGGAATAGGAGGAGGCCCGCGGCGCCGATCAAGACGCAGCGCCGCCGCCGGTCCCAGGCGTCGGGCAGGTCGTGCGAGTGGGACCGCCGCCGGTTGCAGCAGGCCTCCTCGATGTCGCAGGACGAGTCCCGGTAGAGGTCGATGCTGCTCGGCTTGTCGAGGCCGTTCCAGCTCGGATGCCGCAGCATGGTTAGGCGCGCGGCCGTGGGCTCGCGAGCGCCGGGCCGCGCCAAGTGGTAGGCGGCCCGCTGGCGGACGACGGGCGAGAGGCAAATGATGGCGACGTCGCCGCGGCCGAGCTCGCCGACCCGGCTGCAGGAGCGACCAGGCCACACCGTTTGGTGTGGATAGTCTCGCCCACAGGTCCTGCGTGGAATTTTGGGCTCCCCAACAAAGTTTTGCGGGAGCTCTTGGGCTGCTGATATTTACGGGACGATGATTTCACCGTTGCTGTTCTTGTCTTGTTTCGAGTTCAGGCATCGGGCAGCCTTGTTCCGGAGCGAGATGACCCAGTTCACAAGCAAACCAGCCCACCGGTCGCACGAGAGATGATGGCCCGCGATCTCGCCCTGCTCCTCGCACTGTCGCTGCCCGCGGCCCACGGCCACGGCGCCATGGTGCAGCCCGCGCCGCGCCAGAGCGCCGACGCCCAGGGCGCGCCCATCGCGCCGGACGCCGACGAAACCCAGTGCCAGAGCGCCCACCCCTACAGCCAGGCGGGCTTCTACCCCGGCGAGTACTGCACGGCCGCCGGCGTCCCAGCGGGCGCGTGTGCCCACCGGACCCCCCGAATCCCCCCCGTAGGCGGCTACGGCTGCGTCGGCGACGCGTGCCTCTGGTACCAGATCGGCTGCTTCCAGTCCTGCGGCAACTGCTCCATGGTCGGCAAGGACCTCTACCCGACGAGCGAGGACCTCGCCCTCGCCGGCGACTGCGAGCCGAAGGCCCCGACGCTGCCCGACGCGTTCCGCAGCTACAACGCCGACGTCGAGGCCGGCTCGGACGCGGACTGGACCAAGGTCAACCCCTGGCGGTCCCCGGGCACGGCGGGCCTCGGCAACCCGGAGTTCGACCCCTGCGGCCGCAACAGCGGCGACCGGAGCGGCGCGTTGCCGACGTCGACGGCCTACCCGGAGGTGAACATGGCCGGGACACTCCTGCCGGCCGTCGCGGCCGCGGCGCCGGTCTGGCCCGCGGGCAGCGCCCAGGCCGTGTCCTACGGCATCTACGCGAACCACGCGGGCGGCTTCTCCTACCGCCTCTGCAAGCTCGGCGCCGACGGCCTCGCGGGCGCGACGGAGGAATGCTTCCAAAAGACGCCCCTCGACTTTGCGAGCGAGAACACGACGGTGCGCTACCGCGACGGGTCGCGGCCCGACTTTGCCATCCCCGCGGCGACGGTGTCCGAGGGCACCTGGCCGGCCAAGTCGCAGTGGCGCAAGGTGCCCGTGCCCATGCGCGACCCGGCGCCCCGCGGCGAATTTCGAGAACGGTCGACCGGGAACGACGAATCACCGACGCATGTCGTAGGTGCAACTGCGACATCGGCACGAGCTGCGTCGCCGGCGACTCCAAGCGCGAGTACGCGGCCTACCCCGAGACGCACCTCCACGACGGCCAGACGCTCGGCGGGTCCTGCGAGACGGGCGTCATGTTCGAGACGGCCTGGGACGAGGGCTACGGCAACGGCCTCGTCGAGAACGGCTTCGGCGACTTCAAGTTCACGCTCGTCGACGAGGTCCGCGTCCCCGCGGGCCTCGAGCCGGGCGCCTACGCGCTCTCCTGGCGCTGGGACTGCGAGCAGACGCCCCAGGTCTGGAACTCCTGCGCGGACATCACCGTCGTCTGATGACTTGTCCCCCGTGCGTCGGAGACGCCCTGCACCTACCTGTCCCCCGTTCGTCTGCGACGTCCTGCACCTACCTGTACCCCGCGCGCCGCCCGGCGCCGCGCTCCATTGAACGCAAGTAAAAACGCAACGTTACGACTCGCTCTCGAGGAAGCACTGCTTCGCCGCGCACGCCGCCGCGGACGCGCGGCAGTTGAGCAAGGCGCAGGCCACGAGGTCCTCGCGGAGCGCGCCGTTGACGCAGGCCCAGTACTGCGGGTCCCGGTCGATGTGGGCCGCCGCGCAGTCGCTGACGAGGCCCTCCATGCGCGCGCGCACCGCCGCCTCGTCGCCGCCGTGCTGCGCCAGGAGGTTCGGCCGCAGGCGCTCGACGTAGGGCTCGCAGACGTTCGCGCGCGCGGCCGCGAGGAGCTCCAGCTTCAGCGGCCGACAGCTCCGGCGCGCGGCGGACCGCGCCACGCGCTCGTCGCAGGGGCCCTTCTTGCCGACGCACATGGCCGTCGTCTTCTGGCACTTGGCCGACTGCAGGCAGGCGAGGAGCTGCTTCTCGAGCTTCGACGACGTGCCGGCGAGCGATGCGCTCAGCGCGTGCACGACGGCTTGCCGCTCCTGGTCCATGCCGCCGCTCGGTGCGTGTGCGTGCGCTGGTGCGCCGGCGCAGCCTCACCTCGTCGAGTCCAGCTCGCAAGCGCCGCTCGGGAGCCACGAGTGCTGTGCACCTTGAACTACAACGCAAAAAAGCCGATCGATTAGTAAGCCGAATATCCCGCTATTCGTAGGTCGTCGCGCCGTAGTCCGCGCCGTCTTCGTAGGCCGCGCCGTAGTAGTCCGCGCCGTAGTCCGCGCCGTAGTAGTAGCCGTACTCGTACTCGTTGTCGGGCCTGTTCGGCCCCGGGTTGACGCGGTCCCAGAAGCGGACGGGCCACGTCTTGTGGGAGTAGCCGTAGGCGAGGAGGATGCCCAGCACGTAGCGGATGATGAGGTGGCGCATGACGATGAGGCAGCAGCCCTCGAAGGCGAAGTTGCCGAGCGACTGAAAGGCCCACTTGAGCTTCGACCGCGGCCGGTCCCAGGACGCGACGAAGGCCACGGTCTGGATGTCGATCAGGATGAAGAAGAGGAGGACGTACATGCACCAGTTGTACATCTTGGTCAGCTGCGGGTGCACGGGCCCCGCGCCCGAGTCGTCGTCGACGGTCACGAACTTGCCCGTCGTCGTGTACTTTTGCTGGTGGAAGCCCATGAGGAAGAGGGCGACGGCCGTGCCCCAGATGTAGACCCAGCCCACGGTGTGGTAGAGGCGCGCCACGGACTCGGGCGCCGTCTGGCACGTGTGGTACGCGTCCCGGAAGATCTGCCGCGCGACCTTGAGCCGGCGGAGGTACCGCTTCTTCAGGTAGGGGTCCTCGACGCCGAAGAAGTTCTTCATGGGCATGTCGAAGTAGATCACGTTGTCGAGCTCGAGCACGAAGACCATGGCCAGCGAGTTCAGCAGCAGGTTGAACGGCCCGTCGGACGTGCCCAGGATCTGCGCGGACACGTCGTAAAAGTACCTAGAGAAGGAGCGCCACTTGTCCGGAGCGCGCGACCCACGGCGAAAGCACGCACCAGACCAGGGACCCGCGGAGGAGGTGCAGGAACGTCACCGCGACGAGCCGCAGCGTCTGCGACTGGACGCCGATGGTGTCGACGATGGACCCGCGGCCCTTGACGCGCTTCGTCTCGTCGGCGATGACGTAGCGCACCTCGGACTGGACGAGGACGTAGCCGGCCTTGCACTCGTTCATGTCGTTGCGCGTCGTCAGCGTGATCATGATGACGCAGAAGAAGAGGGGGATCACGGTGATGTTCTGGACGCCGTCGATCTGCGTGTGGTCGTACCAGTGGAAGATGTTGGCGTAGTTCGTCGGGTAGGGCTTGCCCGCGGGGAAGTACGCGTCGACCTCGTCGTCCGCGATGTAGTTCTCGGAGCTCGCGGGGATCCAGATGCACTGCCAGACGGTCTGGAGCGCGCAGATCTGCAGCAGGATGCAGAAGATGACGTTGAAGAAGTGGAGCACGAGCCGCGGCGTCACGGCGTTGTACAAGATCATGGTCTGCACGCGGAAGTAGTAGGACTCGTCCGCCTTCTCGTAGAGCCGGTCGATGGGCCGCGTGCGGCCCTCGCCGTCGTCGTCGTCGTCGCCGGCGTCGTGCTGCGCCGCCGTCTGCACCTCCTCCATGTCGTCCATGCGGCTCTTCAGCTCCTTGAGCTCGTGCTGGAGCGTCTGGATGATGTGCGCCTGCTCGTGGACGACGTCCGCCTTGCTCTTGCCCCGCGACACCGGCGTGTACGACGACCCGTTGACGTCCTGCGGCGGGGGCGAGTCGGCCTCCTCGTCGCGCGACGAGCACCACAGCGTCGGGGCCACGTCGAACTCCATGTTGATGATTTTGTTCGTGCTCATGGAGCGCCGGCTCACGCGGCCGGTGCGCGGGGAGCCGCGGCCGCCGGGCGAGACGCGGCCGCCGCCGGGGGACACGCAGTCGTCGAAGCCCCCCCCCAGATCACAGTCCAAGGCCCCGCACGACGCCGTGCTAGTAATGCGCAGAAGCGGGTTGGATGGCGCACTGTGGCTGCCCGACCGAAACCTCTTTGTTTGTAACGTTTGATATATTGAATTGATTTGAGGCATGTTGAGTTTCAAGTTGCACCTCGCTCGCTAAATTCTTGCCAGAATCCGGAGAGCCATCTCGATCGATCGCACCGGGCGCCGCGCCCTGCTCCCAGAGCCATCTCGATCAGAGCGCGGCGCCGCAGCCGGGCTCGTGAGACGCGATCGCAGCCATGGCCGCGGCGCGGCGCCTCTGCGACGTGCCGAACCTCGCGGAGGTCACGCTCAGCGGCGTGGACCCGGCGACGGGCGAAACGATCGAGGTCAAGATGCCCCTCGTGCGCGGGAGCGCCGGCGCGCCCTGCATCGACGTCACCAAGCTCCACGCGGCGACGGGCCTCTACACGCTCGATCCCGGCTTCACGGCGACGTCGTCCTGCCGGAGCTCCATCACCTACATCGACGGCCCCAAGGGCGTGCTCCTCCACCGCGGCTACGCGATCGGCGAGCTCGCGGCCAGGTCGAGCTTCCTCGAGGTCTGCTACCTCCTGCTCAACGGCCGCCTCCCGGCGAGCGAGAAGCGCCTCAAGAAGTTCGAGGTCGAGGTCGTGCGCCGCATGACGGTCCACGAGCGGCTCAAGGCCTTCATGACGGGCTTCCCGGACGGCGCGCACCCCATGGCCGTCATGGTCGGCACCGTCGGCGCGCTCAGCGCCTTCTACCACCGCGGCGACGTCCGGGCCATGGACGACGCGGCGCGCGCGCTCGCGGCCGTGCGCGTCGTCGCGAAGCTGCCGACGATCGCGGCGATGGCCTACCGCCACAGCGTCGGCCTGCCCTACGTGGGCCCGCGCGCGGGCAAGTCCGTCGCGGCGAACCTGCTCCACATGTGCTTCGCGTCGCCGCTGGACTGCGGCGACTGGGTCCAGCCGTCCGCGGTCTTCGAGAAGGCGCTCGACGTCTTCCTGTTGCTGCACGCGGACCACGAGCAGAACGCGTCGACGTCGACGGTGCGCCTCGCGGCGTCCTCGGAGGCGAACCCCTTCGCGTGCGTCGCGTCGGGCATCGCGTCGCTCTGGGGCCCCATGCACGGCGGCGCGAACGAGGCCTGCATCAGGATGCTCCGCGAGATCGGCGACGCGTCGCGCATCCCCGAGTTCCTGGCCCGGGCCAAGGACAAGGCCGACCCCTTCAAGCTCATGGGCTTCGGCCACCGCGTCTACCGCAACCTGGACCCGCGCGCCAAGGAGATGCGGACCCTCGCGCTCGCGTGCATCGAGGAGTACGAGCGGCAGCACGCGGACGAGCAGGACCCGGACTCGTACGTCACCGCAAACGTGCCCGTGGGGGGCTTCAAGAAGGGCACGACGGCCTTCGGGGAGCACCGCGCCGCGACGCTCAGCGAGACCGACGCCGCGCCCGCGGGCGCTTCCGAGGAGGTCGAGCTCCGCACGCTCTTCAAACTGGCCGAGGAGCTCGAGCGGCAGGCGCTCGCGGACGACTACTTCGTCACGCGCAAGCTCTTCCCGAACGTCGACTTCTACAGCGGCCTCGCGCTGACGGCCATGGGCATCCCCACGTCGCTCTTCACGTGCCTCTTCGCCGTGGGCCGCGGCGTCGGCTGGATCGCGCAGTGGAAGGAGGCCATGGAGGACCCCGGGCGCAAGATTTCGAGGCCGCGCCAGGTCTACGTCGGCGAGCTCGCCCGGCCCTACCAGGACTACCGGGAGCGCGCGTCGTCGTCGCCGCGCCTGCTCCGCAGCTTCACGGACTCGACGCACAGCATCCCCTACAACTACGGCGTCGGTCACCAGTCCTGACCTAATCACTGTTACGCGCAGGCGTCGACGCAGGACCCGGGGCACGCCTCGAAGGCGAAGGCGCCGTCCTCGCCCTTGGCGCTGCACCGCGGCGCGTCGTTGGCGACCCAGGCGCAGTCCTTGGACGGGCTGTTCTTCTTGTGCCACGCGGCGTCGTCGTCGCAGGCGAGGCCGTCGTAGCCGAGGCCGTTGCAGGCGAGGCACGCCGCCGGGCAGCCCTCGAAGCCGAAGGTGAAGTCCTCGCCGACGGCGATGCAGCGGCTCGTCGCCGCGGCGACCCACGCGCAGTCCTTCCACGGCGCGCCCCGCTTCGCCCACGCGTCCGAGTCGTCGCACGCGTCAAAGTAGCAGCGCCGCGTCGCCGCGGGGCAGCTGGACCAGGCCTCCGTGCCGTCGGCGCCCTTGACGCCCGCGCGGTTGTAGTAGAACTCGGCGACCCAGGCGCAGTCCTTCCAGGGCACGCCGTTCTTGTGCCAGGACAGCGAGTCGTCCGCGTCGCCGCAGTCGTAGGGGCACGCATCGCAGGCGACGGGGCAGGCCTGCCAGGCCTGGGCGTCGTCGCCCTTGGCGGCGCAGCGGTCCGCGGGCGCCGCGGCGACCCAGGCGCAGTCCTTGGCCGGCGCGTTCTTCTTGTACCACGTGTCGTCGTCCTCGCAGACGTCCTCGCGCTTGAAGACGGGCTCGCGCGTCGGCTCGGCCGTCGGCGGCGGGTGGAGGACCATGGTCGGGATGATCACGGGCCGCGGCGTCGGCGGGTCCGCCAGCGGGAGGATGGGGTAGGGCGTCGGCCGCGGCGTCGGCGCGGGCTTGGGCGCGGCCGACGGGTCGCCCGGCGCGGGCGTCGGCGCGGGCGTCGGCGCCGCGGGCGCGGGCGACGGCTCGCCGCCGTAGGTCTCGCCGTAGGGCCACTCCGTCGCGTAGGTCGCGAAGGCGGCCGTGACGCCCGTCAGGGCCTCGGGCGCGTACGCGTCCGTCGTGCCCGCGGACGCGCCGCTCCCGCAGGAGGGGATCTCCCGGCCGATGGACGGGGTCCGGTCCTCGCCGCTCGCGGAGACGTCGCCGCAGCCCACGAGGCAGAAGGGCGCGTGGGGGAAGTAGTCGCCGTCGGGTTCGGGCGACAGCGGGTTCTCGAGGACGACGTCGTCGGAGCCCATCAAGAAGTAGCGATAGAGGAACTCGTCGTCGCCGTTCCAGGACCCGTAAAAGCCGCCGCAGGCGTCGAGGCAGTAGTAGTCGTCCGCGCGGTTCTCGCCGCACTGCTTCATCTTCACGCCCCCGGGCCCGCGCGGGCCCATGATCGGGAAGCCGTCCGCGGCCCAGCCGACCTGGGGCGACGACCCGTCGTCCTCGATGCCCATCTGGGCCAGGAGGCACACGGGCGCGTTGTGGTAGTGGTGAGGATTCCCATGGCCGCCGCAGTACTCGAAGGTGTCGGACTCGAACTTGACGGCGGACGAGTCCCAGTCCGTGCACGGGCCGTACATGCTCCCGCCGTAGCAGCTCCGCACCTCGACGCCGTTGACGGTCATGCCGATGAGGCCGCCGACCTCGCTGAGGGACAGGGCCGCGCCGAGCGACGACGCGTAGTCGCCGGCGACGAACCTGGGCGTCGCGGGGATCGAGAAGGTCCAGCCCTGGTACGCGGCCATGTTCGGGTTGTCGCCGAGGCAGTTCGTGAGCCTACGCGTGCGCGAAGCGTCGACGCGAGCGTCGGGCAGCGCGCGCGCGGACGAGGCGACGACGGGTGCGGATCACGGATGGACGCGGGAGGAAAGCGGGTTCGAATTCGGGCAGCCGGAGGTCGAGAGCACGCGGCTCTCGCCGCTGATGGTCTCGCTGTAGGCCGCGTCGGCGCCGGACGTCGAGCAGGCGTCGGACACGGTCGTGTGGCAGGTGCCGCCGCCGTCGTAGATGCTGCCGTGGCCGTCCGTGGACCCGCCGCCCGTGCCGCCCGTGCCGCCGCCGCCCGTGCCGCCGCCCTTGCTGCCGCCGTTCTTCTGGGCCACCGCCACGGCGAGGAATGCGAGGAAGAGGCAGCCCATCATTTGGACAAGACGCCTACGGCTTACTTGCCCCTGCCGGGGGGCTTGCCTGCGGCGCGGCGAGAGCGCGCCCTTCGGGCGCGCTCGCGCGTGCTGAGCCACTCATTCCCGTGTCAATGCTTCCCTCTGCACCGCTTGCGCGACGACAGCCATTTAATTTTTTTCGTACGGCGGGGGGAAGGGACGCACAACTCACGCATATATATATGGAATAGGGGTTTCTTGGTAGATGTTGACGACACTTCGACTTCGTTGCTAGCGCGCTAAAGACTTTCAAGGAGCGGCGCGACGATGATCGTCGACGCGCGCTGAAAAGCGCGAGCCGCAGGAACACAGGAAGAAGGATGGTGCGCGCGTCCGTGCACAACAAGAAGCTCCAGGAGGAGATGCGGTCCCACGAGGGCAGCCAGACGCCGCGGTCGAGCGCTTTGCGCAAGATCACCAAGTCGGCGCTGACGCACAACCGCGGCCGCGACCGCGAGCAGCTCCGCGCGTTCCAGGGCCGCGGCATGGACAGCGCGGGCTTCCGGCTCCAGTGGAACAAGGCCTTCCCCTACCAGAAGCTCACGCTACAGGAGGCGCGGGCGGTGCTGCCGCAGTTCGACAAGGACGGGTCCGGCAAGGTCGACGGCGCGGAGTTCCTCATCGAGTTCTTCACCATCGGCTTCGACGCGAAGCGCGAGAGCGGCCGCAAGCACCGCGAGCTCACGGCGAAGATCCACAAGAAGGTCGCGGACCGCGAGGTCGCGCTCGTCCGCAAGGACGAGGAGCGGATGATGGCCGCCGCGCGGAGCGACTTCACGGACGAGGACGTCCGGCGGGCGCGGGCGAAGCTCACGGCGGCGTCCATCGCGTACAAGACCGCCGGCGGCCGCGCGGCGGGCGCCGCGGGGCTCCGGGGCTTCGTCGGGTCCTCGATGCCGCCGGCGATCCTGCGGGAGCAGCTCAAGCACACGTTCAGCCTCCACCTGACGAAGCGCGAGCTCGGCGCCCTCTTCAAGGACGTCGACACCGACGGGTCGGGCACCGTGGACGGCGCCGAGTTCCTCATGCACTTCTTCCGGCTCGGCAACCTCGAGCAGAAGCCTGCGTGGAAACCAAATCTTCAACCCGACTTCAATGTGCGCGTATGCGACCGTTCCGACGCAAGGCTTTCTGCTGTGCTTCGAGAACTCGATGAGAGCAATCGATTCGTCCAAAAATCAGCCGAATCGACTTCGATGTGACCGAGCTAGAGAATTCTCAAGTTTGGTCAGGACCCCCCAAACCAGTGGTTGATTTCCACACAGGCAGAAGCACATGGCGCGCCGCGCGCAGGAGGAGGCGGAGAAGAAGTGGCTCGTCGAGGCCGCCGTGGCGGCCCACGACCGGGAGCTCGCGGAGATCCAGGCGGGCGTCGTCGCGGCGGGCGCGGGCGCCTTCGGCCCCGCGGACGTGCGCTCCGCGTACGAGAAGATCGGCGCGAGCTCCGTGCGCCTCGAGCGCGACCCGCCGAACCTGACGCCCTTCCGCGAGGGCGGGCCCCTCGCGCCCAACGAGTTCGTGCGCCAGATCAACCGCGCCTACGACCTGCGCCTCGGCCGGCGCGAGGTCAACGCCGTCGTGACGTCGCTCAACGACGAGGCCTACGCGGAGGGCAAGTCCGACGGCTTCTCCGCGGGCGTCGACGGCGACCGCTTCCTGCGCCGCGTGCACCAGATGCGCGCCAAGGCGCGGCGCGAGGTCCGCGTCACGCGGCCGCCCGTCGAGGGCGCGTGGACGCTCCGGCGCAAGTACGAGGACGCGCGGCCGATCTCGTCCTACTCGAACCCGGACCTCGCGCTGCCCCACGACCGCGTCAACATGTACGGCGAGTCCCTGCGGCCCCAGACGACGCCCTCGAAGCTCCGGAGCCCGGGCGCGCCGCGGCCGCGGCCGCACACGACGGGCGCCGCGGGCCGGTCGCGCCGTCGCGCGCCGTCGCCGCCGGGCTCGCCGGGCTTCGGCGTGCTGGGCATCGACTTTTGAGAAGTAGGGTTGTAAGCGTGGGCCGTTACTTTCGCGTGCTTACCGCGTAGTGGAGGGGCCGAGAAGTAGAGCCTAGAAGCCGCCAGGGGTCAGATTTTGAGCGATTTTGCGCCCCACAATCTCCCCACACCCCAACACGTAGCCCGCGCGCCGCCCCGCAAACGATCATGAAGGCCGAGTACGTCGAGAAGCAGCGCGAATACGAAGAGAAGAAGGCGCGGGCGAAAGCGCTACAGCTGCGTTTGACGTGTACGATTTGTGGGGCGAAGCCGAAAACACTGCTGAATTGTCCTTGCGGTACAACACAGTACTGTTCGACGGACTGTCAACGCATCGACTGGCGCGACCGGGGGCACCGCAAGGCGTGCAAGAAGATCCGAAGCGAGCGCGCGGCGGAGGCGGCGCGGGCCGAGGCGCCGACGCCCCCGCCGTCGCCGCCGCGGGACGTGTTCTACGGCCCCGCGCCGCGGTCGCACGCCGACGAGGTCCGCGCGCGCATCGCCGCGGAGCACGAAGCGGCGCGGGCGCGGCGCGAGGCGAACCCGGAGCGGGAGCCGGCGTCGGCGCGGTTTGGGTCGCGGTGCCCGATCTGCCTCGAGGAGTGGGACGTGAATGCGACGAACATGTTTCGCGTCTGTTGCTGCCGGAGGGTCTGCCGATCGTGCGAGGACAAGATCGGAAACGCGTGTCCCCTCTGTCGTGTACCGGGCGCGGAAACCCGGGCGGAGCAGCTCGCGCGTCTTCGCCGCCATGTGGAGAACGAGGTGCCGGAAGCGATTACGTTTTTGGGTTTGGCGTACCGCTATGGTACCCTCGGCCTCGTGAAATCCGATAAGAAAGCCGCGAAGATTTGGAAGCGCGCCGTGGAGCTCGGCGACGTGGAAGCGATGAGACACCTTGGAGCATTGTACCAGACTGGAAGTGGCGTGAAGCTGGATAAGAAGAAGGCGGAGCGGCTGTACCGCGCGGCCGCAGATCGGGGCGACGCGGTCGCGCAATGCAATTTAGGGGCTTTACTTCACTCTGAGAAAAAGCTTGAAGAGGCGTTCCGGTACTACGCGCTCTCGGCGGATCAAGGCTATACCGCTGCAGAGCATATCCTTGGTATGTGTTACAAGGCCGGAGAAGGCACGGAAGTCGACCTCGGCAAAGCCAGATACTGGTTCGAGCGCGCCGCTGCCAAGGGCTACGAGCATGCTATCAAGTCCCTCGCGGCCCTCGACGCGCAAGTATAGCCTAATTCCTTACGCCTTTCCGTCGCCCGAGCCCGAGATGCTGCGCTTGCGCGCGGGCGAGTCGCGCTTGGCCTTGGCGTCGTCGTCGCCGCGTTCCTCTCCGCGCCGACCTTCGCGATCTGGCGCCTGGCGTAACGCGAAGCCCGCCTGGCGCAAGGACGCGTCGCCGAGGGGGGCATGGAGAACGACATGAGCGCGATGCTCTAGGGGTGGATTTAGGCCGGCCGATCGAGCGATTTCGTGTATAGAGAGGGAACGGGGACATTACTGCTGGCCGGCGGCCTCGGACGGGGACGGGCGGGACGGGTCGGGCAGGACTTCGAAGCGGTGGTTCGCGGACGGCGGGTCCCCCGCGCCCTGGCCGTCGAGCCACGCCGACGCCTGCTCGAGCGTGGTGGCGACGCCCAGCGGGGAGCCGCCGCGGGCCTGGTGGAGGGCCAGACCGGCGGCGCGCTCGGACGCCGTCGCGTCCGCGAGGCCGCGCCAGGCGCGGTCGAAGTCGTCGCCCGAGAGCTCCGACTTGACGTTGACGGACGCGCGGAGCTGGGAGAAGACGCGCGACGTCTCCACGAGCATGTTGACCCCCATGGGGGAGCCGAAGCCCGCGCGGGGCTCGCGCCCGAGGCAGCAGACCCGCGCGCCGTCGACGACGAGGATGTCCGACAGCACGCCCTCGCCGCAGACGTAGTAGCCCATGTCCGGGTCGAGGTCGCCGTTCGGCTGGAGTAACCCGGAGTACAGTATGCCCCATAGAAATCCGGACTATACTTTTAGGAGTACAGAGGAGTAGGGAGTACAGAACGAAGAGTACGATAAGATAGTTAAGAAGTAGGGAGGCGTCGGGGCAGATCCTGGCAGAACAGGATCGCAGAATCGGAGCACGTCCCAGATGCGCCATCATCGCGGAGACGACAGCAAATTTCGTTTGAGAGTATCGAATTCGCTCTGGGTAATAGCCCGGGCCGTCAGGAGATCATTCAGTTCCGAAATCTTTGCGATCAAGTTCCCAGTATTGCCCCTCGGAGTCGCAGGAGGTGCATGGTGCATCTGAGGCATGGATTGATGGGGCATGGAATGCATGGGATGATGGTACATGGGCAGTGGAGTCAAAGGCATGGCTTGATGGGCATGCATTGGAGCTCCACTGAAGAATTGATTGGAATTTGAGATGATGCTCGGATTAGCGTACGGAGGCATATACGAAGGAGGCACAGGCGAGTCAGAAGTCACAGCAGGAGTCGGAGAAGTTCGTGTAGCAGGTGCCGGGGCTTGCGAATCATCCATAAGAGCATTCATCCCAGGGAGTGGTGGAGGTGCGGGAGCGGGTACAGGTGGCTGGGGAGCGGGTACAGGTCGTGGCGGCGGTGGCGCGCCGAGACGATCCCGGCACCGGCCCCGGCCCCGGCCGGCCGGCCGGCCGGCCGGCCGGCCGGCCGGCGGGGCGCGCCCCGGGAGGCCCAGCCCCGCGGCCCCGCGCGGGCGCGACGCCCTTGGAGATGTCGCGCGGGGCGGGTGGGGAGGCTGGGGGGGGGGCTTGGGACGCGTACCTCCGGCCGCTGGTGTCGGACACGTTCATGAGCGTCCGCGGCTTCCTCAGCCTTTTCGTCCTCGAAGCAGCTGGAGCGTCCTCGAAGGACGTCTCCTCGACGGGCAACTCCGGGAAGTCGAGGAGCCCGTCGTCGGACCCCGCGAGGTCCGCGAGGTCCTCGTCGTCGAAGAGCGAGAGCCCCCCGAGGCTCTCGCGCGCGCTCGAGACACGGTCGGTCACGGACACGCTCGGGCGAGAGGGGGAGGGGCCCGGGGAGGGCTGCTCCATGCCCCACGGCACCAGGCCCGGGGCCCAGTCCTCGTCGCCCGCCATGCGGGGTGGGTTGGGAACCGGCTGTCAGTGCGCTTCTGAGCTCTCACAGCCACTCGATCCCGCATACGTATGCGTTTAACACAACGCCGGAAGGATATATATCACGAATAACTAGAGTTAAGATTTAAAATAAGGGGGGTCGACGATGGGCCCCTACTTCGACGACGCCTCACAGAGCGACGGCAGAGAGAAAACATGACCAGCAGAATGCAGGAGGCGGAAGGGTGACTCCACTCAGAGTAGACCGCTCGAGGCTGCGTCGCACCGTCCTCGGGCTGCGCCCTCGGACGGTACTCCTTGCCCCTCGGGTCTACTCTTCACTGGACCGCGATGGGCTGGTAGAGCCGGAAGCCCCGCGTCCACGGCTGGCCCTCGAGGCGTTCCGGCGCGCCGGGGCCGCCGCGGACGCACGCGAGCTGGGCCTCGGAGAGCCGGGGCGCCGCGCCGTCCGCCGGCGGCTCGTCGACGATGGGCGAGAGGAGGGCCTCGAGCGAGAAGATGCCCTCGCACCCGCTGACGACGACGACCCAGCCCCTGCGCCGCTCGCCGCAGAGCACGGTGAGGAGCTCCTGCTCCGGGCACGTGACGAGCGCGTGGAGCATCTTCGTCTGGGGATTCCCGCCGAAGCGGAGCGTCTCCAGGTCATCGTCGGAGAAGCAGCCCCGGACGGCGGCGCGCGCCGCGGCGTCCTGCGCCGTCAGGGCCTGGAAGGGCGGGTTGAGGTCGCCGAGCTTCTCGAGGCCCGCGGGCGAGCGGAGGAGCCGCGGCGCGATCCTCGCGACCAAGCCCGCCAGGTCCGCGCGGCCCGCGGCCGTGAGCTTCGCGACGCCAAAGGCGGTCTCGGAGACGAGGCCCGCGAGGAAGAGCAGGTGCTTCTCGTCCCAGACGCCGATGACGAGCGACGGGTCCTCCGCGACGGCGCGCGCGCGCGCGACGAGCTTCGACATGCCGAGGCCGATGGTCGCGAGGTCCGCGCGCAGGTCCGCCTCCGCGCCGTCGGCGCCGTGGACAAGCGCCACGGGCTGCACCATGATCGTGGTGCCGAGCTCCGAGGGGTCGGCGCCGCGCGCGATGAGGCCCTCGATCGTCGCGAGCCAGGCCCTGGCGGCCGCCGTCGGCGCCCCCGTGTACGACTCACGCGGCGCGGAGAAGGCGATGGTGAGCGGGTACTCCTTGAAGCGGTGCTCCTCGGCGGCGACGTCCTCGCCGCGCGCGAACGGGCCCAGGGGCTCGCCGTTGAGCGAGAGGACCTGGCGCCCGTAGAGGTAGAGGCGGCTGCGGGCCATGCATTCCTTCGCCTCCACGACCATCACCGACCCGTCCGGATCGAGACCGAAGCCGACGTGGCCGCCGCCCTCCGGCGGCTTCGCGCCCTGCCACGTCTCCGTCCGGTCCACGGACCGCGAGATCGTCGCCGCGTCGAGGTCGAGCGCGTCCGGCGACGTCTCCTCCGGCGAAGGCGCGGTCTCCTCCGCCGCCGCGCGCCGCGCCAGCGCTTCGCGGCATTTGGCGCGGAGCTCAGCCTTCTCGACGCAGTCGGCGTGCGACATGCCGCTCTCGACGATGAGGGCCTTCATCGCCTTGATGCTCATCGAGTCCACGTCGGGCTCCGACATGAGAGCGATGTGCTTCTCGGTCGTTGCGAAGACTCGTGGGCTTGGGGCGAGCGCTCGACTCGACCCGCTCTTGGCTTCGGCGAGCGCTTAGAGACCTCCTGAGGCAAAACCGTACGGCGTACGCCTTAGTAGGACCCTGCGGCTCTCCTCGTCAAAACCGACGCCTCGACTCGTTACTTGCTCACACCCCCTCGCAGCGCGACGATGCTTGTTCCGGTCCCGACGATGGCGAGGATGACGCCGAGGACGGCGATGAGGACGTGGGCGAGGGATCGGAGCGGCGCGTTCTCGCCGCGGTGGCCGGACGCGGACGTCTCGAACAGCACGACGGGCAGGATGAAGCCCAGGAGGCTCAGGAAGAGGCAGCCCACGAGGCCCGTGAAGACCTGGAAGTTGGGCACGACGAGGCCGAGGAAGACGACGAGCTCGTAGCACGCGACGCGCAGCAGCGCGCGTTTCCGCGCCGCGGCGGCCGGCGACGGCGCCGCCGCGGGCGACGCGGGCGGCGACGGCGGGCCCGCCGACGACATTCCCCCCGCCGACGAGGGCACCGTCGAGGCGGAGACCGTCGACACGTAGCTTGGTCTCGTCGTGTCCGTCAAATCGGCCGAGAGCTCGCGATCCAGGAGCGGCGCGTTCAGAGAGTGGTCGGGCTTCCCGTCGTCGTCGTCGGCGACGGGCACCGCGCGGCGCTCGAGCATCTCGACGGCGGGGAACATGGTGATGGGCAGGGACGCGAGAAGCTGGAGGCAGACGGCGACCTTGAGCACGTCGCGCGGCGGCCCCGCGGGGAGGCAGTCGATGACGATCGCGCCGCCGCCGGGGCACTTGCCGAAGCCCGCCATGTCCGTGAGCGCGACCCAGGCGCCGACGAAGAGCCAGTAGGAGACCATGACGATGGCGATGACGCGCGGGAGCCGCGTCGGGTCGGCCATCATGTCCGCGTTGGGCATGACGTGGTTCACCGACTCGACAGAGTAGAGGATGGAGCCGACGTGGCGGATGAGGACGCCCCAGGAGCAGCTCGGCGTGCCGGGCCCCGCGGAGCCCCAGAGGTGGACTTCGAACGCGTCGGACGTCAGGGCGTAGCCGCCGCTGAGGCCGACGACGCCGACGACCGTGACGAATAACCCGAAGACGGACACGAGCGTGAGCCGGTTCAGGTCCGGGATCAGGGCCAGGCACCCGGCCAGGGGCGCGAGGGCGAGGCAGGCCGCCCAGCGCGCGAGGGACGGCACGAGCGCCCGGCAGACGAGGCTCAGCATCACCACGACGTAGCCCACGCCGAAGGACATCTGGAGCACGCACACGAGCGCCTCCACGGCCCGCGCGCACCGCGCGTTCTTCGTGATCTTATTCGTGAGCTCGCTGAGCGTGTGCGGCGCCGGGCCCGCGATCTCGTCCGCGGAGATCTTCGACCGGGAGACGAGGTACATGGTGTAGCCCGAGATGCCCATGGCCGCCGTCCAGGCCACGAACCACCAGCCCAAGCCCAAGGCGTGGGCCACGCTCGGCTGGGCGAGGATGCCCGCCCCGGCCATGGCCTTGCCCAGGTTCGCGCCGGCGCGCCACGTCGGGGCCTTGCCCATATTGTCGCCCCGGCAGCCCCGATTGCACGACGTTCGGCCTCCAGACCGCCTCGAGGACGCGCTTCAAGGCGGTTCCAAGGCTGGAGGTGCAGATGAGTTGCATCTCAGCTCGGTGAGCTGGCCGAGTGCCCCGCGCGCCGACGCCGTCGCAGCAGCTCCGACGCCGTCGCGGCAGCTCTCCAGCGCCGACGCGCCGCAGCTACACACGACCACAACAGCTCTCTCGCGCGCCGACGCATCGCTGCTCGCCGTCGCAGCAGCAGCCGCCGCCAGCGCCGGTACATGCTCCCGCGCCTCCTGTGCATGTTCACGGCGGCGCGCGCCTTCCCATCCCTGCGCAACACGGCCGGACCCGCGACGCGACGCATGGCGACGGGCCTCGGCGCCCAGGAGCGCTTCCTCTTCGACCTCAACGGCTACCTCGTCATCCGCGGCGCGCTCTCCGGCGACGAGGTCGCGGCGCTCAACGGCGTCGTCGACGCGCACGCGCACGAGGCCGTCGCGCGGACCGCGGCCCTGAAGAACGCCAGGGAGGACGGCGCCTTCGGCGCCGCGGGCGCGCGCCGCGACCTCGGCGGCATGCTCGGCTGGGACGACGGCGACCCGTTCCGCGGCCTGCTGGCGCACCCGAGGATCGCGCCGTACCTCGCGGCGTTGCTCGGCGACGGCTACCGCCTCGACCACCAGCCCATGGCCCTGCTGCAGGACGCGGGCAGCGAGGGCTTCGGCCTCCACGGCGGCCCGCTCACGGGCGCCGGCGACCTCAACCCGGAGCTCCAGTACCGCTGCGTCAACGGCAAGCCCTGGAACGCGCTCGTCGCCATGGCCGCGCACCTCGTCGACGCGCCGGACGGCGCGGGCGGCTTCTGCGTCGTCAAGGGCTCGCACAAGCTCAACTTCCCCGTGCCCCCCGATCTCGCCGCGGGCGCCGACTCGGAGTTCGTGCGGGAGCACGTGGCGCAGGTGCCCACGAAGGCGGGCGACGTCGTCCTCTTCAGCGAGGCGACGGTCCACGGCGCGCTGCCCTGGACCATGCCCTACGAGCGGCGCCTGGCCCTCTACCGCTTCTCGGGGCCCAACTACGCCTACGGCCGCGCGTACCTCAACGAGTGGTCGGGCGCCGCGGCGAAGTGCACGCCCCAGCAGGCCGCGGTGCTCCTGCCGCCCTTTGCGCCGCGCCTCGAGCGGCCCCTGACGACGGGCGCCGGCGACGCGGGGCCCGAGCCCGTCGTCCGCGCGCGCGCGCCCGCGAAGAAGGCCCACGACGTCGCCGTCTTCGGGACGTCGTACTTTTAGTAGCTCTAGTAGTCGGGAGTTTCTCGGGGGGTGAACCGCGGCGCGAGCATGAAGGACAGCTGCCTGTCCTTGACGTCGCCGGCCGCCTTGACAATGACAGTGTCGCCCTCGTGGGCATACTCGTGCTCCGTGCGCGTAGTTGCAGACCTGGATCTCGATCACGCTGGATGCGATGGGTCCAGCTGGAGTGTGCGTGACCGCGGCTGCTTCGAAAGATTAGAGTTTTCCTGGTTGCCGAGGACGCCACCAATAGGCGAGCGAATACCACCACCTCTGCAAGGGCGACGTCGTCTGCGGCCTCCTGGAGGCCTTCAAGACCCGGACGCTCCACTACGACCAGGACAAGAAGCGCATGTCGATCAAGGAGACCTCGACGGCGAAGGACTCCGGCTCCGTCGAGAACATCATCGAGTCCCTCATCGCCGCCCGTTGGCGGGTTACGACGCAACCTACGTCGACGCGTGGCTGGACATGGACCGCTGCGACCCGCGCGTGAACGAGGAGGCCGCCTCACGCGCGCAACGTAACGTAGATGACGTCGCGCGAACGCGCGCCGCGTTCAGCCTCGACCCCCGGGCACCTCTCGCCTTCGAGGGGCGCGCCTCGGACGCCATAATGGCGACGAGGAGCTCCTAGATGTGCACGCGCAGACCATGCGGAGGCGCGCGCGCGTTCCAAGCAGCCGACGAGAGCTAATCCTAGCCCTAATCGCTCGCCGGGGCTCTGACGGCCGGCTCTTGACCTCCTCGAGCCTCGGGCGAGTGTCGCTGGTAAAATCAGTGCGCGGGCGCCGGGGGCCACTGAGACAGCGTCAACATCCGTGACCACTCGCGTGAGTGTCTAGGGGGGCGAAGAGGTAGGGTAGCTGATGGCGAACGGCGATTCGGCGAAGACGGACGACGGCGCCGCCGCTAAGGGCGCCGAGCCCAAGAAGGAGCCCGAGGCCTCCAAGTGGGGCGACGACGAGGAGGAGGAGACGGCGCCGCTCAAGTCCGAGAACGGCTCCGCCGGTGCGTTTGCGCGGCGCCGGACCGAATCGACCCGCCCGAGTCGAACGCCCGACCGTTTCGCAGGCGCGATGAAGAAGACGGGCTCCTGGGCCGCCATCGCGAAGACGGGAGGTACGAACCCCCCGATACCCCGCCGTTCCTCAGACCCCCCCCCCCCCGCAGCGCCCGAGGAGGACGAGGCCGCGCCGCCGCCGCCGCCGGTCGAGCGGACGCCGTCGGACAAGACCAAGTCGCCGCGCGACAAGGGCGGCAAGGGCGAGCGCGGCCCGGGCCGCGGCAAGGACGCCAAGGGCGACGGCCGCGGGACGCCCCGGGCCAAGGGCGAGGGCCGGGGCCGCGCGCGCGCGGACGACGGCAAGCTGCTGAGCGAGCAGCCCGGGTCCGCGAACCGCCGGACGCGCGGCACGGGCACGGGCGAGCGCCACGCCGGCACGGTGGTCTACATCTGCGCGTCCTACGGCTTCATCCGCATGGACACGAGCGACGGGGCCAAGGAGGAGGACGTCTTCATGCACCTCGTCGACGTCGACTTCGCGCCGACGATCAAGGAGCGCGTGACGTTCGAGCTCGCGCGCTTCCGGGAGCGGAACAAGGCCGTCGAGGTGCGCCAGTGCGAGCCCGGCGCGAAGCGGTCCCCGCCGGCCAAGGCCAAGGCGTCCGTCGAGGACCCCGCGAAGGAGTGGCCCAAGGCCGAGCGGCTCGCGCTCGCGGCGGACCTCGTCGCGTGGCTCGAGGGCGGCGCGCCGCCGGGCGCCCTCGAGGCGCCGGGCGAGCTCCTGCTCGCGTCGGACGACGTCGCGCGCTTCTTCGACGCCCACGCGGGCCACGCGGCGGCGGTGACGCGGTCGACGCTCGCGCCGTCGCTCGCGGTCAAGCGCGCGATCCGCGAGCAGGGCGTCGCGGGCGTCGCCGGCCGCGTCCTCGAGCTCGCGCCGGTCCCCAACGGCTGCAACGCGGGCATCGTCAAGGTCGGCACGCGGGCCGCGCGCGCGGCGAAGCGCGACGGCGACAAGCCCGCGGACGAGCGCAAGCCGGCGAACCCGCTCGGCCGCGCGCCGCCGCCGCGGCGCGCGCTGCCGGCGTCGGCGTCGCGGCCCGTCGTCGCCGTCGCCGAGGGCGGCAGCTCCTGGGCGTCCCTCGTCGGCGGGCCCGCCGCGGGCGCCGCGGCGGCGCCCGCGGCCGGCGCCGAGGAGTCGAAGGCGACGGAGGAGGCGGCGGCGCCCGCGCCGGCCGCCGACGACCCGCCGCCCCTCGAGGACGCGCCCGCGCCGGCGCCCGCGCCGGCGGCGGCGCCGGCGGAGGAGGCCGAGGAGGCGCCCGCGGAGGAGGCGGCGGCGGCCGACGACGCGAAGCCCGCGGCGAAGCCGGCCATGGGCGCGTGGGCGCGCATGGCCGCGCCGACGGCGGACCAGTCGTCGCGCCTCGTCGCGAGCGAGCTGCGGGGCTGGATGCAGGCGACGGGCCGCAAGGAGCTCGCGGCCGGCGACCTGCCCCTCTTCCGCGCGGCGTGCCCCAACAACGCGGGCGCGGACCTCGCCGAGGCCTGCGGCGCGTCCGCCGGGGCTTTGGAGTACGTCGGCGGCGACGTGGTCTGCCGCCTCAAGGCGGGCACCTACGCGAAGCCGCCGCCCGCGCCGCCCGCGGCGCCGCCGCGGCGGCCGGCGGCCGACGACGGCAAGGCCGAGCGGAAGCCGCGCGAGCCGCGCGAGCGCAAGCCGCCGCGCGAGCCGCGGACCGGGCCCGCGGCGGACAAGTTCATCGTGCGGCGCCTGCGCACCATGTTCCTCGGCGGCCTGCGCTGGGACGAGGGCAAGGGGCCCGCGACGGACGCGGAGCTCGGCGACGACGTCCGCGGCCTCCTCGGCCGCGCGGGCCACGGCGCGGGGCTCATCGGCCTCCACGTCCAGCGCGACCGCCAGCTCGCCTACGCCGAGTTCGCCGACGACGCGACGATGCAGGCCGCGCTCGACGCGTGCCGCGGCACGAAGCTCCGCGGCTGCGACGTCCGCTGGGACGTCGCCAAGGCGCTCCCGCCGGCGATGATGCCCGACCGCCCGCCGCCGCGCGCGCCGAAGCGCGCGCCCGCCGGCGACAAGGGCCCGCGCCGCGCCAAGGGCGACCGCCCGGGCACGCCGCGGCCGCGCACGCCGCGCGGCGACAAGCCCGGCGACAAGCCCGCGGACGCCGCCGCCGCGTCCGAGACGAAGCCGGGCGGCGCCGCGGACGCCGCGGCCGCCGCCGCGCCCGCGGCCGACGCCGCGCCGCAGACGACCAAGGCCTGAGCGCGGCCGACGCGCCGCTCCTCGAGCGGAGCGCGCGCGCCGCGCGCCGTTCGCCTTGAGACTGCGAACCACACCACACCTTTCGTCCTCCAAGGACCCCGGCTCACTCATCACTCACGCACGACCACGACCACGACGCCTCGAGCCCGGGCTCCTCGGGACACCGCGCGGGCAGGTCGTTGACCGCCGCGCCACGCTAGAACTCCCCGCCCCCGATCCCCCCCGCCGCCCCTCGTTCGACCCCACTCGTAACGACCGCGGTGCCCCGTCTTCCTCCTCTAGTCGCGCGGTGAGATGCTCTTATAGGGGATCTTTGGGCCTCGGCGGACGAGGTCGGCCACCGGCGGCTCGGGCGCGGACGCGCGCGGTTTCGCGAGCGACGAGGACGCCTAGTCCATGAAGCGCGGGCGGATGAAGGGCGCCGCCATCGTCTTGGCCCGCACGGGGACGAGGGGGCTCTTCTTCTTCAGGTTGCGCGACACCGCGGCCTCGCGGATCAGGTAAGCCTCGCAGTCCGGAAGGTCCCCGGCGAAGGAAGGGCGGCCCTCCGACGGCGGCTTCCCGGGCCGGGGAAACTCGAGCGAGGTCATGGGACCCGCGGGCGCCCAGGGCCGCATGGGCGCAAAGCCCTTTTGCTTCTTCGGGATGCGCCACTTCGCGCGCTCGCGCGGATGCGGCGGCGGCATCTTCGGCGGCGCTCGCGGCGGCGCGAGCGCGCGCGTCTTCTTCTTCGCGGGCGTCGACGAGGCCGGCTCGCCCGACGGGTCGCGCGGGCGCTTCGCGGACGGCTCGGCGCGGTCGACGGCGGCCTCGAGGTCGGCCGCGCGGCCCTCGGGCTTCACGCGCGAGCCGACGCGGCCGGCCTGGCCGGCGTCGAAGCGCTTGGGCACGTCGAGATCCTCCTGCAGGCGGCGGGATGCGGCGTCCGCGGGAGCGTAGAGCGCGAGGGCGAGGATGACGTTCTGCATGGTAGCGATGCGTCGGGCGCGGATTGTTGTGAGGTGCTGGGTGCGGAGAGCGCGTGCCGAGTCTGCGAGGGGCGACGCGTTCGAAGGGGGTGCAGGCGAGAGTCTCAGGAGGACAAGGAAACGGTGGAAGGGGGAATCTTGCCTCGCTCGGTTGCGTGTGTGGTTTGCAACGCTATGACTCTCCATCTCGCAGAGCATTTTTGGCCGGGGTGCCCGTCGTTCACGCGCACTACATCTGTAGGCAAGTTCCCCGAGCCGGCCGAGCCCAGGATGCCCTCCGGGCAGGTTGTTCTCCACGACACCAGACGCCGCACAAGGCATACGAGCACGCGAAAAACCCCAACAAGCACCTTCCAAGTGCTACCCGCACCTAGTCCTCGAACTCGTCGGAGTCGTACTCGCCGACGCCGGTGTTGACGAGCGTGGAGCCGAAGTTGCCGTAGTCGACCTTCTTCTTGAGGCCGCCGCCCGGGCGGCGGTTGCCGCCGAGGACGCCGAGGAAGGCCGGCGGCGCGGAGGAGAGGGGGTCGTCGCTGAGGCTCGCCTCGGACGACGACGGCGACGGCGCGGGCGCGGGCGCGGGCCGCGCGCGCGGCGAGCCCGCGGCCTTGGGCGGCTCGGCCTCGGAGTCGCTGTCGGCGTACTTGGCCTCGGCGCGCGCCGGCGGCGGCGCGGGCCCGTCGCTGTCGCTGTCGGAGGCCTTGGAGCCGCGCGCGGACGACGCGGGCGCGGCGGCCTTGGCCTCGGGCTCGTCGAAGCCGTCGTCGCTCGAGGGGGGGTCGTCGGCGGACGCGTCGAGGCGGTCCGCGAAGGAGCGCTTCGACCGCGCCGACGACGGCGCGGGCGACGGCGCCGCGCGCGACGAGCCGCGCGACGACTTGGACTTTGCGGACGACGCGCGCGACGACGGCTGCGACGGCGCCGCCGCGTCCGCGCGGAGCGCCGGCGGGTCGAGGGCGCTGTGGACGCCGCCGGGGTAGTAGGTCGTCTCGAGGGACGCCCGGGGCGCGGCCGCGGGCGGCGGGCCGCCCGCGAGGACCGCGTCGACGGCCGCGGCGGCCGCCGTCGGCAGGTGCACCGCGTCGCGGTCGCCGAGCGCCGGCGGCGCGGCGCGCTCGGGCTCGGCGGTCCGCGCCGCGAGGCGCGCCGACAGCGCCGACAGGCTCCGGCGCGTCGGCGGCGCGGCCGCGTCGAAGGCCTCCGCGGCCGGCGCCGGCGCCGGCGCCGCGGCCGCGGCGGCGTCGTCGCCCGCGGGCGCGTCGAGGGGCGCCGCGGACGCCGAGGACGCGGGCGCGGCGGCCGCGACGACGCTCGCGGACGCCGCCTGGTGCTTCGCCAGGGCCAGGTCCGCCTCGAAGGCGAGGCGCTTCTCGTTCGCGGCCGCGAGCCGCTCGCCCGTCGCCGCCTGTGTGGAAATCGACCGGTGAGCTGGGACGTCGGGGCCAAACTTCAGAAATCTCTCGCTCGGTCACATCGAAGTCGATTTGGCTCATTTCTGGACAAGTCGTTTGCTCTCGTTGAGTTCTCGGCCGAAGCGTCTGGTCCAAACCGTTCGACTACGCGCACATTCAGGTGTTGAGATCTGATTTCCACGCCGGTCGCCGCGTGCGCGTCCTCGCGCGCGCGGATTTCGGCCTCGTCGGCGGCGGCCTCGGCGTCGCGCTCGAGGGCCGCGAGCACGGCGGCGTCGCGCGCCGCGTTCGCGCGGCGCTGCGCGTCGGCCGCCGCGCGCGCGCGCGCCGCGTCGAGCTTCCGCTCCGCGACCGCGAGCTTTTTGGCGCGGACGACGTCGTCGAGGGCCTCGTCCTTGGCGCTCCGCCGGTCGTCCTCGACGCGCCGCGCGGCGATGGCCGCCTCCGCGCGCTCGAGCGCGTCGAGCTCCTCGACGCGGCGCCGGCGGCGGTTCGCGTCCGCCTCCGGCGCGAGCTCGACCGCGCGCGCGAGGACGGACACCGTCGCGTCGCGGAGCCCGAGGGCCGCGGAGCTCCGCCCGCCCAGGGCCGCGTCGACGCGGTCCTCGAGGCCGCCGAGCTCGCCGAAGAAGGACCGGTTCCGCGCCGTCGCACCGCGGTGGTCGTCGACGCAGCGCGCGCGGCCGCGCGCCGCGGACCGGCGGCGCACGTCGGCGAACTCCTCGGCCGTCGCGCGCCGCAGGGCGCCCTGGCGCACGCTCACCTGGTGCGCGAAGGCGCTCTGCTCGCGCCGCGCGGACAGTTCCTCCATGCGCCGCGCGAACTGCGCGCGCGCGTCGGCCCGCCGGTCGCCGGCGCTCGGCTCGGGGGCCTCGGCGACGACCATGGACGGCGGCGTCACGGCGGCCATGTCGGGCATCTGCGCCCGGACCTGGGCCGCGGACACGCGCGGCGGCGCCGGCGCCGTCGGCAGCGGCGGCAGCGGCACGTCCGGCGGCGCCGCGAGCGGCGGCGCCGCCGCGGGCGGGAGCGGCGCGTAGAGGCCCGCCGCGCCGGGGACGCCGAGGCCGAGGCCATCGGCGGTGCCGAGGCCCGGGATGCCGAGCGACGCGCCCGCGCCGCTCGCGAGCAGCGGGTCGTTGATCGCCGCCGCGAGGTCCGGCGGCAGGCCCTGGCCCGTGAGGCCCGCGAGCTCCGCGCCTAACCCCTGGAGGTAGTGCGCGTAGGGGTCGACGCCGGGCGGCGGCGGCGGGAAGCCCAGGGGGTAGCCCGGCTGCTGGAAGCCCGGGGGGACGCCCAGCGGCGGCGCGCCGTAGAACTCCGTCGGCGCGCCGAAGGGCTGCCCCGGCGGGATCGGCGGCGGCGCCGTCGGCGGTCCGGGCTGCCCGGCGCCCAATCCGGGCTGCCCGGCACTCAGCGCCGGCGACCCGTCCGCCGGCGGCGGCGGCAAGGCGGGGTGGACGACGTCCATCATCCCGGCCGGCGGCAAGACGTCCATCATCGTTTTTCAAGAACTGAAAAGCCGCAACTGTGGGCCTTCACAGCTGGCCTTCAACGAGTTGGCGATGCACTTCTCGAGATCGGAGCAGCCGAAGCTGCGAGCACGGGTCCGCCGCCGCCGAATGCTAGCTCTACCCGAAGCAAATATAGACGTTGCCCACACGCTCGCCTCGTCGACGTCCTTTGAGGATCTGCCCCGGCCCGCGCGCGGAGGTTGCCGCGGCGCGGTGCCCGGCGCGGCGCGCGCCGAGCAGGAGATGCTCGCGACGTCGCCGCCGATCTTGAGGCTCGAGTCGCCGGTCGAGTCGCCGGCGCCCGCGGGCCCCGCGGGCACCGCGGGCGCGGTGGACGCGGCGGCGGCCGTCACCGACGGCGGCGCGCCCACGGCGCCCGCGGAGCCCGCGGCGACCGCCGCCGCGGCGGCCGCGGCGCCCGCCCAGGAATCCGGCGAG